TCGCCTCTCGCACCTCAGGCATTTCACAGGACCTATTCTGTCCCTGACCGGATAATTAATAACAATAATAATAATCCTTGCATTCGATGTAGCGCCTCATCACGTCTTCGAGACGTCTCAAAGCGCTTCACAGGATATACTGTAAAGTGAATTGACTGTGTGTTTTGTGGGCGAAATTGGCCGAGTTTGTCATATAAGTTAGAGATGTTAATTCGCGACGTTAACCTGGGCGTTGATTTCCCCGACAACTCCAGGTGGTGATGGTGGGGGTGGGGAACCCTTTTATATTCGAGCCTTGAAGCGAAGCAGAAAAGAATGTAAATAACCATTAGAGAACGCGAGAGCTCTCTTATCAGCTCAGTGATGCACCAACACCACCGACTGAGCCAAGAGACAAGAGTTCAGCCAACTGAAGCCACTGAAAGCTAGAGGGGAAACTTTCTCTGTATAACAGAGCTTCTCTATATCGTAGAATCATAGAATTATACAGCACAGGAGGCCATTCGGCCCATCGTGTCTGTGCCAGCTCTTTGCAAAGAGCTTCCAAATCAAACCCACTCCCCCACTCTCTCCCCACAGCCCTGCAAACTTGTCCTCCCCAAATAATTATCTCCTTCAGGACATGACAAGTGCAAGCGACTGCTAGGATGGTGGAAGGCGTGGGGACTGGATGGACCTTGGTCTTCTTTTGTCCAGCGTTTCCTATGTTCAACAAATTGCTCGCCTCTCAAAATATTCAAGAGGCTGCACCTGTTTACACAGCGAGGACTCCAGCCCCCGCAAGGCAGCGGACAGCCAAGGAGTGACAAAGGCATGAGAAAAGCAAACAGGTGTGCCCGACACGAGAGAGATGAGAGGCGGAGGTGTTGAGCGGCAGCTGGCACTGGCACTGGTCAACACCCCACAAAAAAACTCTTCCTTCTATTCAAACCAAGCCACGTGTCCAATTCTCAACAAGTCACCATTCACAATCTGCCCCCCCACACCGCACCCCCACCCTGGGGGCTGCTCACGTTACCCCAGTGGTTGGGGAGAGTTTCTACAAGCAACAACAACAGATGACATTTACACAGCGCCTTTCACATCGGGAGGACATCCCAAGGTGTTGGATAGTCAGGGATTTGGACATGAGCTGGTGGTTGGGATCAGGAGGGGTGGAGGGCAGGGAGGGTATGGGTAGGAGGCTGAACGAAGGTGCGGTTGAAGAGGAAGGTCTCGAGACAGGCCCTGAAGGAGGCAAGGGAGGGGATGAGGTGCAGGGACTGTGGGATGGAGATCCAGAGAGGAAAAAAAGAGAGGGGTGGAGGGGGGGCACTGGAGGAGAATTCCCACACCATGAATCTCTCATTAAAACCATTCAGGTTGGAATGGCAGGTACCAGCCCCCAATATTTCCCCATCTCCACTCCATCATAAAACCATCCACTGTATCAGTAGCACACATCCCGGCACCTGTACATCACCAGAAACATGCCCCGAACCCCCCACCACCCCACTCCCCTCCCTCAAGTCTGGCGGAATTACGTCACCTTTAGTAATAATAATCATCTTTGCATTTGATATACTGTAAGATCATATTTGTGATGTTTAATGGTTTTTAAGGCTTTTCATTAATCTCTAATTACGTTTAGAATGTAACCCCTCTCCCCATAATCCTTTAACAAGGTTTGTTTGATTTAATGACTAGTTTAGCAGGGGTTACAAGTAGCTTTGCTGGAGCTTTTCCTGTTGAAGTCAGCTTCTGATTACCACCTCAACGGCTACAGCCTCAACATCTGCCTATCTCAAGACTGATAAACCAGCCGGGTGTGGACAGCAGCCTGTGAAGGGTGGGGGCTGAGTCGTTAAACCCCACGCTCATCCCTGCAAAGCAACCTGTGAAGAGTGAGGCTGTCTCTGTGACAAGTGGAGGCGAAGTTAGAAACACACAAAAGATATAACTTTGAAATAGTTGGGAGTTAGTTGTGTGAGGGTCAGCACACTTCCCAGGGGAATCCATATCGATTCTACCGTATCTATGGTCTCAGTTATAAGAGTAGTGAGGTCTGTAAGGATGGCTTTCTCCAGTCGCAGTCTGGTGTTATTGCTGATAATACACATTCCGATTGTTACTCTGGATAAACCTGTACACTGATGTGATAATATATCAACGTTAATGCAGAGACTGTCGCTGCTTGTGTGTGAATAAAGACCTTTTCTTTGAATCTTTGTGTCAACTCCTACTCAGTAAACTGGGGCTCCGGCAAACCTTACAATAGCGCCCTATCACGTCTTCGAGACGTATCAAAGCGCTTCCCAGAATAAAGTGTAAAGTGTCTATTTTGTGGGCGAAACCCTTTACTTTTAATCGAAGCCATCGCTAAATCAATTCAGAGCATCAATTCAGAGTTTTGTACCGAGAGAGAGAGAGCGTTCTCAGAGGCTGTGCAATGGTTCAGACCGTTTGACAAAACACTGCAGGCTTCTCATCTGGCTTTGTGACTCACTCACCACTTTGAATATTAGGCATTAGTGGGAGATGTTGAGCTACGCTTTTCACTCCCATCCCCCCCACACCCCACCTCCTCACTGCCTGCAGTGTTTAGGATCTAAATGTACCATTAGTCCTCGTGAAGGTCGCTTTGAATCGGAGTTAGTTTTGTGCATCAATGTGAGACAGAAAGCCGAGGCTGCTGCCAACCTGGGAAGGCACCGCAATAGAAATTGTGTTTCTGGTCACCAACCCGTTAGCTCACAGAAATAGCGCAGACTCGCTGTCTTGACTGCTATTTGCTGACTCACCCAAGGCTCTTCGCCTGTCGTTTGTGCAGTCTCATTTCGTGCTATTCATATAATAATAATCCTTGCATTTGATAAAGAACGACCTTATCATGTCATTGAGACGTCTCAAAGCGCTTCACAGGATGTTTTGTAAAGTGGAGTGACTGACTGTACACGTTGTGGGCGAAACGCAGCAGCCAATTGCGCACAGTGGTGTCCCACAAACAGTCGTGGATTGAGTGACCGAATTATTATATATTATTAATTATTAATTCTGGGGGATTGGGAAGCCCTGTGCCCTGGCACAAAACACACAGTCACTACACCATACAGTTGCCATATGGAAGCGGGTTTTGGAGTTAACATTTAGCAAAGACTCAGGCCAGCCGGCCTGCTCCCCCCACCCCAAGCCCCCAATCTTCCCTACCCTATTGCCACTGGCTACAGGCTTCTAAGGCCTTTTAGAAACAAAAGTAAAATCGAGTGTGACAGATGAAAAGAGTTTCATTTTTTAATATCACCTTTATACACCGCCTCCCACCCCCGGCGCCCACTTCACTCCCCACCAAAAAAATCACCCAAAACACAAAAGTTTCAGTTCCTGGAAGCACTTATAGAACTACAGAAGTTTTCAGGAACTGTAAAGGGTTTCACAAAAAAGGCTTTCGTAGAAATGAAAAGGATTCCGGGTTATTAATCGATATCCCGGCTGTGAGACACATAGTATTCATCCGGCATTCTTTCAGGTACTGCGTCATGGTGTATCCTGGGAAGCGCTTTGACTTGCCTCAATGACACGATAAGGTCCTGTACTAAATGCAAGGATTATTGTTATTACTATTAAATTGCCCAAAAATATAACCCACATATAAGCAACACCCCCCGGCACACACACACACACACAACCCTCTCTCACACACACACACCCTCTCACACACACACACACACACAACCCTCTCTCACACACACACCCTCACACACACACACACACAACCCTCTCTCACACACACACCCTCACACACACACCCACACACCCTCTCACACACACACCAACACATACTCTCTCACCCCCACCACACACTGATTCACACACACACCCTCACAACAACAACAACAAGATTCCATTTATAGAGCGCCTTTCACGTCAGGAGGACGTCTCAAGCCCTTACACACCCACTTGCTCACTCACACAAAAACCTTGGATGTCTACGTTTGGTGTCGGTGTTCGGTACTCAGTAACTAAACGAATAATTTGCGTTTTGCACCAGATGTGACTCCAAAAAAAACCACAACTTTTCTTTAAGCTCCGTCGGTGCTCCCTCACCCGCGAGTCACTAACAGCTCGGCACGGTGACTCACTCCCTGATCCTGACTCACACTCTGGCATAACCGAGGACTCACCACTGACAAAGCCAATTATTGGATGACGCTGTTCATTGCCTGCTCAGCCTCACCAGGAGAGACCGACCGGGGGCCTTACACCCACCACAAGAACTGGGGGGGAGGGCTCGGGGTGAAGACCCCAAAGTACACCGGTTGCAGGGAGCGAGCGGGAGAGCGGATCAGGGTCAAGATGCGGAAAAACACCAGTGGTGGTGGGGTGTGGTGGGGTGGGCGGAGAGGAGAGGGCTCCAGGAAAAACAACCCCATTTGTGTGCTGGATTATTCTACGTTTCAAGCCCAGGTGGAGAAAGGATGATGTATACAGAGATTTTTTTTTGTGAGGCGGGGAGCGGGGGAGGGAAGGTAGTGGGGGAAAATGACACGCAAGGGAGGGGAGGGGAAGGGGGGTGGCCAATTGCACACAGCAGCGACCCACAAACAGTCCTGGCATTGATTGATCATTTGGAAGGATTGTTACCAAGGAAACAGATCTAATAACTGGGTTCCTGCTTACTGCTGGATAAACCGAGGCGTGAGGAGTAAGGAAACTTGCCTAAGGTTTCACCCCGACCCGCCCGGGAATCATCAGCTTACCGGACAGGCCTTCAAACATTCTGCCCTCGCTCTCTGGACCCCCGTACCCCATATCCCTCTGATTTGCTCCCTCCCCTCTCTCGAGGCACGTCTCAAAATGTAACTCTTTGACTGCGCTTTTGATCACATCATCATTTCGAATAAGCGCCACAGGGAAGTGTAGCGTCCAAGGGATCGGGGTGGGGGGTGAAAGGGGGAGTGGGAGTGTGGGGTTTAACGTCTCATCGAAAGATGGGAAAAACAGAATAATGATAAGTAAAACCCTTTGCTTTTTGGGGATTTTTTTCTCCCTTTTGTAATTTATTTTTGAACATTACCAAGTGGGCATATTATTTAAAAGAATTGAGCAAATATTACAATCTGAGTAAATAGTTTAAACTTGTCCATTATTTTGAACTGCATAATTGATACCCGCATCACATAATATTAACAGCATTGTACATTCAAAATTCTATGCAGCATTGGAAATGGGTACAGCTGAGGCGGGGGGCAGAGAAAAAGAGAGTGCACCGGGTGGGGGTGAGGGTGAGAGAGAGAGAGAGGGTGGGCTGAAGATATTGACGTGAGCAAAAACAAAATGAAATAATATCAAGGTTTTTTTTTGCTTAAGAGACCGTACAAAAATTATTCAGAAATGGCACTATCGTTAAGCGGGGTGGAAAAAAAAGTTTTAAATGAATAAAAAATGAGAGAAGAGAGAGAGAGAAGGAAAAAGCTCTTAGTTAAACAAAAATTACATCTATCCTTCTAAGGACAGGAAGACATAAGGTGGCGTTTCAGATTGATGTCAGGCATGGAGTTAGACAGGGCTTATCCCAGCACCGGGGGGTTGGGGGGGGGGTGAAGGAGGGGAGAAAGAGGTGGCAATATTTAAGATGAAAACAGAATGTAAGAGGATCGAGGTGGGTTTGATTCGAGTGTTGTGTGTTACCTCCCGCAGATGACGAACAGGCAGCCACTTGTTACCTGATGAAGACAGCTACACTTTCAAGAATTCTTCTCATCAGCTCTATATATATATATATATTTTATATATATTAAAAAAGAATCAAGTCTACCAAAAAAGAGATCACTTCAATAAGGTATAACCTTCCAGTGGGACAGTGAGATCCAGCTTACACACGAGCCATTGGTGGGCGAGGAGTGAAATCATCGCGGGTTGGTTGGTGCTGCCCATCAGTTGTCAAGTCAAAGTGAACTTGCATTGGATACAGCATCATCCACCCATTCTGTGCCCAATCCCAGTCTGGGTCAGGGTGGGCTTGGCTGACACGTACTGCGGTGGGTGGGGGAGGGGGGAGCTCACCCCAAACGTTCCCGATCTAAGGACAGGGTCACAGGGACCAGCGTTAATGGTGAGTGTTTGGGCCTGAAGTGTAATAAATCCAGGGCTTTCTAACCAAGGTGGGGAGAGAGTAGACAAAGGGGAAGTTTCAGTGTGCGTGAGAGTGGAGAGAGAGAGAGAGAGAGAGTATACAGAAAGTGGCATCACACTTCAGAAAGTTCAGGTTTGACTAAGTCTGATCAGTTGGCTGGTACCCTCCTCCCATCCCCCCACCTCCGCGATCGCCGACTGGGCTCGTCCCGAGTACCCGTAACTCTCGGTGGATGGTCCGAAGAGGCGGCTGGTTCACTTCGCCCGTCCCCCCGGCTCTAAGATACAGATGCTCCTCCCAGGAACTTGGTGGCTTTATTCTGGTGGTTAATTGCGAGGCTGATGGCAGCGATATTCTTGAGTCCCTGAAACACAAGCCTCCCCAGGTCAGAATCCCTTCAGACACAGCTACGAGCTGACTTGCACAGTGCCTTTCACACACAATGACGTCTCAGAGCGCTTCACAAGGATGACATGGTGGAGCGAGGTGGACAGAGGTGGGGGTGGGTGAGTGGGGGCCAAAGCTATGGGAGTCTTGTAGGAGGGTTTCAATCATAATTGCATCTGAGTCAGCGTCTTTTGTGGCACGAGGACATCTCAAAAGTTTCCCAGGATTTACTGCAAAGTGTAGTGACTGTACGTTTTGAAAGCAGGAAGCGAGGGCAGGGTGTCCCAGTGAACAGGGTTTGTTCTAATCAAACCCCAAAACTGGATGCCGGATCCATTCACATCTTCAAGGCTGAGGTGGAGAGATGTTTAGTAGGTCAGGGTATTAAGGAATGCGGGCAAGGGCGGGCAATTGGATTTGAGGTTACAGATCAGCCATGATCTTATAGAATGGCGGAACAGGCTCGAGGAGCTGAATGGCCTCCTCCTGTTCCTATGTAACAAAAAACAAGGAGGCAGCTGGTAACGGGTCACATTCACTCAACACTAAATAGGTCATCGTTCACAAGGAGGGGGGAGGGGGGTGTTTAAACAAGGCAACATTATCAATACAGCAAAAGCTAAAATGTGACTATTAATGGTTAACCTGTGAACAATGCCGGCATTGTGAACAATGCTCTTCACAATGGTGGAATAAAGAAAAGGAATTTGACCCAACTGGTCTTAAGTTAGAAGTCGTTGGGAACACTCAGCAGGTCAGGCAGCATCTATGGAGAGATGACCTATGGTCATCGACCTGAAATGTTAACTCACTTTCCTTTCTCCAGAGATGCTGCCTGACCTGCTGAGTGTTCCTTGCGACTTCTGTTTTTATTTCAGATTTCCAGCATCTGCAGGATTTTGCCTTTTTGGTCTTAAGTTAATCTCAAGACAGATCCGATTGTCTGCAGTATTGACCCCGGTTGGTTTAAAGGGCCAGTTACACAAAGCGGTATCCTGTGGGTACCACAACAAGCATAGAGAATGAAACAACTTGCACCTATATGTTGTAACTCACTCCAACGGTTCCCTCAGCAAAACCGACAGCCCTCAGGCAGAGGGGAGGGAATGTCAGAAATACTCCAGCGTTTACATAGATTACGATCCTGATGGAAACATGCAAAGCAACCACTGCCCAACATCTGTGTCCCAGATTAGAACATGTAAAATCCAATGGAAGCCAGGGTCAAAGTGATTACTGTGAAGTGTAGTGACTAAGTGAACGCAGTAGCCGATTGCGATTGCTCACAGCAACTGCCCACAAACAGCCATGACGTGAGCGTCAAATCTTATCGGGAGGATTGCGGCCAGGACACAGAGAGAGAGGAGCCCCCTTCTCTACTTGAGATCAATTTCTTTAAAGTTTGCCTGAGCGGTGCACTGAGGAGCTTGGTTTAAAGACTGCGAGCTCAAAGTCTCCAACGCGGGACTTGAGCCCATAATTTTATGAGCCGGAAGGTGAGAGGGCTAGTGAACGAGCCCAGTTCATATTCCGTTAGAAATCTCACGCTGGGGCCAATCCCGAGTACTTCACTCGTGGTTTGATAGGAGTACACTGAAGGAATAATGGATGGACTGAAGTGTTAGGGTTGGGACAGTGACTCTCAGTTCAGTGTTGACTGCAGTAACACAGCCCTACGAGTCTCTTTCCAGTTCACTGAAGCACGAGCGGGTGCATCCAGCTGTGTGAGTCTGTGCGCTCGAGAGTTCTCACCTGCAGAGCACAGCGCTGGATGTGATCTTCTGTGGTTAAGGCCAAAAAGTAGTCTTGCAGCACTCCGAGTTCCTGCAACCAATCAGAAAGTTACACCGTTACTTTGTCGCTCAACACCATCTACGTTTGAGAACGGCCCCTTTTCACGTTTCAAAGCTCTGTGTGGGATTTGTTTTAAAGTGTTTTTGTGCGGTGGGGAACGCAGCAGCAACAACAACAACAACTTGCAGATTTATAGAACGCCCGCCAGGCAGGACAGGGTCTCGCAGCGCACATGATGTAGACAGAGAAAAGGGAATTTCACTCCCGCCTCAAGTCAACCCTGAGTGTCACCACAGCAGTTGAAATAGTGCCATTGACACCGGAAACTGCTTCTGAGTAAAACAGTGAGTTTATGCAAATTTCCCCGATGCAGCCACACCCCACACACACACACACACACAAAGATAGCTGATCCACCCTTTACCCTCCCCCACTGCACCCCACACTGCACTATCTCCGCTCTGGCCTCAGCTATTGATATAACCCACAAGCTGCGAGGCTATGAAGTGCAGAGGAAACCTGGGGGTCAGAAGGGACCTGAATGCAGGAGGAAGTCAGCCCAGCACTGCTTATCTCAGCGTCATGCTCCCCAGATTTACCACAAATGGGGTGGGGAAGACATTTGTCAATCGACTGATGCTGACCCGGGGATCATCGCAAACAAATAATAATCATCTTGCATTTGATATGCATTCAAGCGCTCCGAGAAGCCATCCGGCATGACGGGTGCTATTTAAATATACGTTGTTGTTGGTGATATAGTGTCTTATTGTGTCGTTGCTAAAGCGCTTTACAGAATATTACCATGAAGGGTATTTTGTGGATGTTTATTCTAACACCAACGCACAATGTCAATGTCAACGTGTCATAAAGCCCAATAGAGGAAGTGAGTTACTGAGCTGCAGATTTGGGCTGGGCTGGAGGGGGGCTGGGCTGGCAGTGGGCTGCCCTTGGCAATAGGCTGCCCTGGCAGTGGGTTGGGCTGGCAGTGGACTGGTGATGGGTTGGGCTGGCAGTGGGCTGGTCTGGCAGTGGACTGGTGATGGGTTGGGCTGGCAGTGGGCTGGGCTGACTGTGGGCTGGGCTGGCAATAGGCTGCCCTGGCAGTGGGTTGGGCTGGCAGTGGGCTGGTCTGGCAGTGGGCTGGTCTGGCAGTGGACTGGTGATGGGTTGGGCTGGCAGTGGGCTGGGCTGGCAGTGGGCTGGGCTGGCAGTGGGTTGGGCTGGCAGTGGGTTGGGCTGGCAGTGGGCTGGTGATGGGTTGGGCTGGCAGTAGGCTTGCTCCTTATACTGTGCAGCTCCTGGAACCTGAGGATATAACTAGTTACTGCACTGACACTGTGCTGAAAGCTTGTGTAACTGCTTTGTGGTAGATTGTGGGGCGGGTTAAGGAAAGCTCTTCTCTCAGGTGCTGTGGTTAGTGCACACTTCCTGTGCATCACTTTGAACAAGAGCTGCTATGTCTGAAACAGGCGGGGGGCAGGCGGACAGCGGGAAAGAAAGCCTCTCTGGGCTAATAAAAGCTCCCCCCACACTACTGTCTACTCTAATCCCATTCTTCCCCCGTTAGCTCCCTGTACTTCGTTATATTGTTTCCTTCAAATCCTATCTATAGACCTTCCTCTCTGACCGTGCCTTCGGCTTCCTTCCCACCCTGACCCCCACCGCTCTCTACCCCTCCTGACCCCAACTCCTAGCTTGGATCCCAAAACCCCTGACCGTCCAGCCCCCTCGGACATCTATCCGATGTGAAGGACACTCGCTATACAAGTATAATTTGTTGTTGTTGTGGCAATTTTATCCAATTTCATTCCGTGTTGTAACTAATAGGATTTCAGCACAACTCACATTTACCAGGGAAGCTGTCACTTGGGAAAGTTAAGCCACAGGTTGTCTTCCCAAGGCTCAGGGTTTCAGGTGCTGGTTAACAGGAAGGAACTCAAAGAATAAGATGAAGTCACAAGCTAGTGGGATGTTGACAGAGGCTGTGTTACATCACAGAGTGATACAGTGGGTTAGTGAGCTGGAGAGAGAGGGGAGAGAGAGTGTGGGGGAAAGAGAGAGAGAGGGCAGGGGGAGGAAGGAGAGAGAGAGAGGGAAAGGAAAGAAAGAACTCACTGCAGTAGAAAGCCGGGTTTCCACATTATCGGAGAAGGGAACCATTGTGGATATGGAACTAGTGTGGGTATCAGGTCTCTGCGATTGCATGTGAGCATCTCTCTCACTCTGTACATGTGAGAGTGGCGTGTCTTTCAGGTTTGAAAAGCTCTAGCTCATCTGACTGTCCTCCCTGAGCCAGGCACATTATTCCAGGGCACTGTCAATTACAGCACAGCCCAGCCTGGCTCATCGGCAGTGAGGGTACACTGGGGTCCCCCACAAGCCTTGGCTCACGCCAACCTGCGCCTAATACATTCCGGAAATAGGTCAGCAGGAAGCGTCCCTCCAGGGAGAGAGAGAGAGAGAGAGAGCGCATATTCCATTCCAACAATCTATCCCTGGGATTTCCATGTGTAGGTGGGATGCATGGAAATCTCAGCTTGGTTTGGAGACTCTTAAGCAACGGTGACGGGTTTCCGCATGTGTCAGACACCCGGGCTGGCCAAAAAAACACCTCTCTGGGACTGCCAAGCCTCCTCCCTGGAATAACAGATTGATTAAGATTCCCTCTTCCCTTCCCCCCCACTCTCTTTCGTCCAGCAAAACGTTGTTAATTCCAACACACGATTTCTGGCAAATCTCTGCAGAATTAATATTTTGAAAAAGATGACAACTTGATCTTAAGTTTACACTGAAATATTTCCAAGCTGGTATCTCACTGATCACTGCGCTAAGTCTGGAGCACACTACAGTGCGCCAGGGAGAGGCTGTGTTATTTAACAAGACATCAAAGCGAACAGCTCAGGGTGAAAAATGGAGGCGAAAAGTTTCAATGGTTTGAACCTTTTTTTTTTGCTGCGTAGCAGTCATTCTATAGAACATCAAAGGATGTCAAATCTCGTCGGCTTTCCTAAAACAAACCAGGGTACTTGCAACAACCCAGCTCAAGAAATCAGGAGATTGATTCTCAGGCAAACTTTTACTAAGTGCAGCATGATAACAGGTTCTCTTCCCCTCCCCCCACACCCCCCCCCAACCCCAATATTTGCATGAACGTGGGGAGAAATTCGGCCCAGTTCTACAGCACTTTAGATTCTCTCTGCGTTGCCGAGTGTCCAGAATTTGGCGAATCATTGAACTTAGTCTCAGCTTTGAAGATGTTTTTCCTCCCGCAGCATTGACAGAAAAAAGATTGAAGGACTTGTCAAACTTCTGTGTGCTCTGTCTGCGGAGGCTAAGAAAAGAGCAAATCGGGAGCTGGTGGAATTTTCCCCCAGTAAATTGCAACTTGCGTTCAGACTCAGTTGACAAGTGTGCCCCAAAATGATAATAATAATCCTTATAATAATAATCCTTGCATTTGATATAGCGCCTTATCACGTCTTCGAGACGTCTCAAAGCGCATCACAGAATATACCGTCAAGTGAATTGACTGTATATTTTGTGGGCGAAACGCGGCAGCCAATTGCGCACAGCAACGTCCCACAAACAGTCGTGGATTGAAGTGACCAAATTATTATTATTATTATTATTTTTTCGTCCATGCACACAATTGGATTGCATTTGCTGTTAATTAATTAGTTAGTTAATTGATTAATTTGTTGGGGGGAGGTGACTGTAGGCACGGTCAAAGAGGAAGGTTTTTCAGGCCTATATATAGGATGGGAGGATGTCCCAAAGTGCTTCTCAGGATATAGTGTAAAGTGCAGCAACTGGGTTTTTTTGTGGGCGAAACGTGGCAGCCGATTTGAGCACAACAGCATCTCACAAGTCAAATGACCAATTTTATCTGGGGGAATGTTGCCCAGGATACCGACTGGGAGAAACTCCCTTCTTGTTTTGTTTAGCGCCGGGGGAGATCTTTAACGTCCACCTGAACTGGCGACCAGGACGGCACCTCGATTTAACTTCTCATCTGAACACAATGGTGAAGTTACAGGAGGAAGAGTGGGGAATCCCATCCTGAGGCTGCTGTGCTATAATTTACACAACTGTTAAAACTACTGACTGGGAGTTTGGAATGAACATTGTGTAGTTTACGAGGATTGGGCAAGATTTTCCTGCTTTGCTCAGCCAACAAAAAGCACTCGTCATTCCTGACTAGCATTATTAATGAATGGTTCCGGTTAGGATTGCCGAATGCCTTTTGTAAGGTGAGTGTGTTGCTCAGACTGGTTAACGTCCATGAGTAGTGTGGTTACGGCTGTAACGAGTGCACAGTGGGTGCCTTACCACCGCCCGGTTTTCTGCGGTGAAGAAGAGCTCAGTCAGGGCGCGGTGCAGGGGGGGGAGGATGCAGACGCCAGCCTGTTCTTGTCGCCCGTGGCTCTCCATCTTGGTGAACAGCTGCCACAGCGGCTTGAGGAGAGTCAGGTCACAGCCTCTGAGGAACAAGCGAGATCACATCAATCAGCACAACTCTCTTTGGAAGAGTCACAGTTTTCACTGTGTCAATAACAGCCGTGTGTGCTTGCACAACATCCAAGGGCTTGACAGGGAGTTAGCTAACGCTGCGTGTAGTAACTGTGCTCAATTCGGGCCTAGCAAAGTCCCAACAAACAGCCAGCCATCCGCAAGGCAAAAAAAACCCAACCAATTCATCTGTTGGCCAGGACACAGGATTAAACTGGTCATTCACCTCGTGGGCTGTGTGTGTGGGCACAAACTGACTGCCAAGTCCGCCTGGGCAAACAAGTCACTGCAATTGACTTGACAGCAATTCCTTGCAAAGAGCTTGTGAGTCAGGTTTAAGGGGCTGTTAAGCTCCTGGACCGTCTTTCTCACAGTGGGTAGTAGTTTCAATATTTACTGTTCGTTTTTCCAGCATCAAAGCTTTCAACTTTTATACAATGGACTGATTGGGGAAATCGTGGAAAAATACCAGGGGCTGTTTATTTGCGACTTTCGAAGGCACAAAGACACAATGCGGGAGAACACAGGTGGTTCTACTGTACAAACGATATAAATATCATGTATAAACATTTAAATACATGCACACAGCACTGTTTTTGTTTTCACAGTAAACCGGCAAAAACATTTAAATTGGTAATCTGCATCGTAGATGAAACAGATATGCAAATTAATCACTAGAATTTGCAGAGTCAGCGAGGAGGATACATCTGTTGGTGCCATCATCAGGCTGGGGGTGGGGGGGGGGGTGGGGGGGCGAGAGAGAAGTGAGTGACTGTGGGATCAGGGGAGGCAGCCAAAGAGAGCTGTTCAACACTGCCAATGGCCAAATCAGGTTCAGTTCAGGTAAATGTAAGCGAGATGGAAACAGGAGGTAAATGCACTCTCTGTGGCTGGGGAGAAACCTGAGGCTTTGGGTTGACTCGTCGCTCACCACATCCAAACAGCGTGAGCCACGATGTGTATATCTTTACATACTCAGCTCTCAATCAACCTTTCAACCCAGGAGACGGGTCGCTCGGGGTGCCCTACAGCACAGACTAGTGGCAGGAGGGAGTACGGATAACAGGAACAAACTTTCATTTTTCTTAATGCCTAAATACAACAACAAATGACATTTACCAAGTGTCTTTCATGGTGTTAGGACGTCCCAACGTGCTGGACAGTCAGGTATTTGGACCCGAGCTGGGGGTTGGAATAAGGAGGGGTGGAATGCAGGGAAGGGGTAGAAGGGTGACCAAAGGCACGGTCGAAGAGGAGGGTCTTGAGACAGGCTTTGAAGGAGGCAAGGGAGAGTGGGGGGAGGTGAAGTGACTGTGGGATGGAGTTCGAAAGGGTGGGGGCAGAGAGGTGGAAGGCCCGCCTGCCGATGGTGGGGACAGGTAAGGTTGGAGCCCGCTGAGCAGAGGGAGATACACCTAAACCACTGCGCTTCACAGGCAAAATCTGGTCAAGTATAGTGGCTGTTTCTGGTAAGCAAACGCAGCAGAGCAGTGTCCCACATGCCGCACACAAGAACGTGTGAAGGGCATTCTTCTAATTGGCCGCAGCTCTTAAATCAAGATGAATGGTCCGTACGGCTCTCAAAGTGCTGTTTATCAGCTCAGTGCCATTGTCTGCTGAGCTGTGCTGCTGCAGTATAAAGACTGTGAGCCAGGACTGAGTGTTCTGCTCTTAATTAAATAGTCATGAAAAAGGAAAGAGGAACTTGGCGTTTACCAGGCAGCATGGGTGGAGGTTAAGAGACACATTATACTAGCGATGAGTGGTTCTGATGGGTTTTGGTCTCACCCCAAACAGCGCAGCCCAAATTAACATCAACACTGAACAAATACCTCCAGCCCACAGGTCACTGTCCACACACACTTGCACCCACACACAGACGTACACACCCCCCCCACCCCATCCAAACACACACACACACACATGTCTACACATGATTGCTGCATTTTAAATAGTGGGGTCTAATTTGCATCATTTCTTAATGGCATTCTTAAATAAACTTGTGAGGTCTGTAGCTGTGTGAGGGAGAGGGTCCCCGGTGAGGGTCCCCGGGTGAGGGAGAGGGTCCCCGGGTGAGGGAGGCTGTACCTGTGGGAGCTGCTCTGCAATATCCTCAGGAGCAGGTGAACAGCTTTGAGTCGCTGATGGCCCAGCTGTTGGCAGGCCACGCCCACCTGCCACTCCCAGACCTCAGCGATGGGGAGGTGCTGGAGAACTCGATCTTCCTGCAACATCTGGCGGAGGATCTCGAAGCCTGAGGCAGGGAGTGAGCAAGTGAGTGAGGGAGGGGAGGGAGCGGAGAGAGGGAGTTAGGGAGGGAGTTAGGGGGGGAGAGAGGGAGGGTCCGATGTCAGAACAGCACCTGACACGAGCGAGGTGGCAACCAGCCGCACAACAATTCAATAGCACAGCGCGTGGTGCAGACGTGAGAGCGGGAGCCTCACCGCACCCCCCCCCCACTCTCTCTGTCTCTCTTTAAATCCCACCTTAAAAACCCAACCTCTTGGCCGCACCTACAGTCACCCCACCCACCCCCCACCTCTCTTGGAGCCTAACCCTGTCCCGCCAAGCAGCTCCGAGACCCTCTCTGAGGCGAGGGAGGCTGTTTTGAATGAAAATGACTGCAATATGAGAGATGATGCTGAGTGATCTCGCACAGTGGGTACAGCAGTCAGTAATGCAGTCTCAGCAACCGCTCCGTTAGTTGGAATGACGGCTGTGTAACAGACAGACACACTGTAATTAATATATGAGGGTAATAATAATCCTTCCATTTGATACAGCGCCTTGTCACCTCGTGACAAAGTGGAGTGACTGCGTTTTGTGGGTGAAACGCGGCATCCAACTGCGCACAGGGGTGTCCCGCACACAGTTGTGGATTGGAATCGTAGAAGTATACAACACAGAAGGAGGGCATTCGGACCATGTGCCGGAGTGTCCAGTGCGTCGGGAGAATTTGAGTGTCCAAATTGTTTTTGGAGGGATTATTACGCCCGGAAAGCGATCTGCCAATCGACTAAGAACCGGGTTCCAACATACTCCTGGGTAAACAGAGGCTTGTGTGTGGGGTAAGAAAACTTGCCTAAGGTTTTGCCCTGCCCGGGAATCAAACTCAGGTCCTCTCGCTTGTGAGGCGAGCGCGCTAACCACTGCACTATAGGACTCTACGTAATGACTGAGCTAAACCGTGCGGCTGCCTGTCTGTGCGGCGCGCGCTCTCACCAGTCAGGAACCTGCCGCGATGGCCACCAGTCACTGTAAACCTGTAGCCCCAGTCGTTGGTGTCCATGTCAGATGTGAACCTGTAGTACAGGGTATCACCTGCAGCCAACACAGAGTGGGAGGAACTGTGAGAGAGCTCACAAACCAAAATTAATACTGCGCACAACCACTGGCCCTCATTGCCAGACACAATATCAATGGCAGGTTCTGTGTGTTTAGCTGGTTAGACTCCAGCAGTTACCCCAACGCACGCTCTGGGCTCCTCCTAAGCCGTTGCTCTTGCCAACCAGCGCCTAATACTTTTCCAGAATTAGGTAAGCAGGGTACGTCCCTCCAGGGGGGGAGAGAGAGAGAGAGAGCGCATTCCATTCCAACAATCTGTCTCTGGGATTTCTATGTGTAGATGGGATGCAGGGAATTCTCAGCTTGGTTTGGATACTCTTAAGCAACGGTAATAAGTTTCCGTATGTGTCAGACAATTGTCCGACTCCCCTACTTCAAAACACCACCCTTCCCCCCACCTCCGCCCACCCGCAGAGCGCTGGGAATTCCCACCTGGAACGTCGAAGTCGATCCACTTGTGGGAGGAGCCGCTGAAGGTGTGACGATCCTGCTTAAAGTCACCGCTGCTGGACATGAGGAGCTCGTCACAGCCGTCCTCAGACACACAGTGAGGATCAAACTTCACCGACAGGTAGATAGCCCCCGGGATGTGAACTTTGTCCTGTGTTTAAGGATACAGAATTAACAGAGAAGCTCATGATGCAGAATCCCGCAGAGAGAGGATCGCACTTTGTAAGGATCTTGATATTGATCCATTGGAGGGAGTCCCTGGAGACAGCGGAGCGTTGATTGGTATGGGTGAGGATATGGGCGCTGTACACCCCGGAATGGACCAGAGCAATGACAGGAGCCGTCTCGCTGAACGACAGCAGCAAACCAGTGAGATCCTAATCAAAGCTGCAGATCGGGCCACTTCCCTAACTCCTGGCTAACTTCTCAACTCACCAACGTGGTCCTGGCAGCTTCACTCCAAATCTAAACAGCCTTTCGCTGTATAAAATGAGTCATAAACAGAGCGGAGAGTGAGTGGGGCTTGGTTGCAACGAGATGTCTTCTCCAGAGATTCACTTTGCCTGAAGCAGCTTTTCAGCTAAGAAACTGTGTTCCAGCGGCGGGCTGGGGGTGGGGGTGTGTGTGGGTGGGGGAGGGTGGCTCCTGGCATACCCACCTCGATGGTGCTGTTGTTCTCGTACGGATGCTTGGATTCCCGCACCTGCACATCCATCCCCGGCTCCTCCATGAACTGGCAGGCAGTCACTGCCAGGGAGCCCAGCATGTTCCCACTGCAGCCCAGCAGCACCTTCTGCAGAATCTGCTGGGACACGGGTCAGAGGTCACAGGCATATTCCACAGTTAAAAGATTTTTTTTTAAATCCTCAATTTGGGGGCAAAACACACGGTCACTCCACTTTACAGTGTATTCTGTGAAGCACTTTGAGACGTCTCAAGGACGTGATAAGGCGCTATATCAAATACAAGTGTTATTAATAATTTAATGGCGCTTATCACATCGCAACATCTCAAAGTGCTTCACGAGTATTTTGCTTTCAAGTGTAGTGACCGTTCTGTTGGCAAATACCCCTTCGACCGCGGTTTTGGTCATCTTCTCCCACTCTTCAGCCCCACCCCTGGTTCGAGTGCTCAGCCAGCTACGAAGCACTTTGAGACGTCCTCCTGATGTGAAAGGCTCTGCAAATTGTACTGTACAGCAAGATCCCCTCCCCCTACCACCCGCACACCCTCCCCTCCACAGTGCCACCCACACGCATCGCCACACTGCCAAACACACACACACACACAAAGCCGTGAGGTGAATGAGCAATTGGTTTGGAGGAGATTGGGAATGAACACCTGGATCAGGGCCAGAATAGCTGATTGAGGCTTGGACTCTGGGACTGATGCTGTAAATGGGAAGACAAGGGTGGGTAACAACAACAGATGACATTTACACGGCGCCTTTCATGTCGGGAGGACGTCACAAGGTGCAGGACAGTCAGGGATTTGGACCTGAGCTGGGGGTTGGGATCAGGAGGGTTGGAGGGCAGGGAGGGTGGGGTGGAGGAGGGTGATCAAAGGTGGGGTCGAAGAGGAGGGTCTTGAGATGTGGGATGGAGTTCCAAAGGGCGGGTGGGGGGGGGGGAAGAATTGTTTCTCACTGCCTTGTGATCTCTGATATCGGGAGTATTAAACTCCAGGCTGCAGAGCTGCTGCTCTCAGATCCTAGACCGCTCCACTCACAATCAGTGGCGCCATAAAACCCCAAACACATTATTTTGTGTCTATTCAACAGCTTGGCTTGGCTCTCGCGCTCTGTCACCCACCTTCTCCCACAGTGGCTTCTCCTCCAGCTGCATGAGCAGGTCCAGGATGTAGGCCACGTGCGATGGGCAGCTCAGCCCCAGAGCCTCCTCGGTGATGGGCACCTGTGGTGGCCAGTCAGCCAGCAGGGAGGCCAGCACGTGCCGGGCGTACAGCACCGCGATGGCCTCGTTCACCTTGTACAGGTAATCCCTCACCGCCTTCTTACTGCGTGCGTCCAGCTCCTTGTGCAGCAGCACCGAGCTCTTGGTGCGTCGCTGTTTGGCGAAGCTGAGTTGGAGGTCGCTCTCCGTGTTGGTGATCAGCTTCTGGGTGACGGGGTTAGGCTCCTCCATGGCTTTCTCGCAGCGCACAGGCTTGGACTGCTGGGACAAACAGAGCAATTTTCACCCAAAGAGAAGTCTAGATTTTCTTTCAAATGAACCATTAACCTGGCAAGTTACAGTCCGAGAGCGAGAGTGAACAGTGAGCCAACAGGCTGTGCGCACACTGGAAGCCACGAGGGGCTAAGATGTCACAGAAGGTTTGGGGAGACTCAGGCACACACCATCCTCAAAACCAACATAAAACAAACGCAGCAAATGAAACATTCATGAGGGGCAACTCCCCCACTCCCCACCACCAGGCCCCTCCCCTCACTTCACTCCCAGACTCAGCAGAAGCCCTCTTCTCTGAGTGACTGAGGGAAGAAGCTGAGGTAGCCACGCTGATCCGAGGGGAAACGCCGAGCGCGGACGAACCTTCCCAAGTCACAGGATATAATAATAATAGTAATAATCCTTGCATTTGATATAGCGCTTGATCGCGTCGTTGAGATGTCTGTAAGATCTTCACAGAATATATCACAAAGTGTAGTGACTGTGTACTTTGTGGGCGACACGTGGCAGCCAGTTGCGCACAGTGGTGTCCCCACATACAGTCGTGGATTGAGAGACAAATTATTATTATTTTTTTAAAAAAATGGATTATTACCCCCGGAAAAACAATCAGCCAATCAACTAACGAGCGGGTTCCTATTTACTGCGAGGTAAACAAAGGCGTGTGGAGTAAGGAAACTTTCCCTCCCTTTCCTCAGCTCTCCCCCCACTGACATGCTGGCAACTCGCCTTCCGCGCCTCATCCCAGACGCAGTCACACGGTGCACTGTTTAGCCGCGTTTACACAGCGTGGAAAATGGAAGAAATAAAAAAAAGCATGTGGGGTTTTTTTTTGCAGGGGGGAAGAGATTGCAATACGTGTTTTGGCTTGGTTGCATAAAAAAAGACACAAGAAATCAGTTACATCCAATCCACTTATATGCAAGTCTGCTGTGAGCAAGAGAACAGGCACCTGATAACTGGATGCTTTGAGAGAAAAGGGCTCAGTGATGAGTTATCAGGAGTGATGAGTTAGGCCGCATACATAAATCAATACAGCCAGGATATTAACAGCCTGACGACTTAAGTGATAGTGGGTCGAGTTATCAGTTTTCTTTTGTGGAAAAACCCCTGCATTTGTTCCGGCGACTTTCATATCGGGAGGACTTCACGGGGATTTACTGTAAAGTGTAGTGGCTGTGTGTTTTGTAGACGAATATCGGGGGGGGGGAATAGTCCCCATTGGGATTCTTTGGGTTAAACCTGATTTGCGGTCTCGGAATACTGAGGACTGGCAAAAATACAACATTTGCCCCAAAAAGCCGCCAAAAATCTGATAAAAGGTTTTCCCGACAGCCTTTTTGTTGGAATTTTGTCACAAGCCAGGATGTCTCCTTGCAGCATTATTTTTTTGTGGTGGTGGGGGCGCGGGGGGGGGGGGGGAGAGAGAGATGGGGGAGTGGGGAGCTGGGGGACGGGAGAGAGGGAAAACTGTAATGAACAAGTTCCGACCTATTGTCCACAGACAGAGTCGCATATACACAGTTGGAGAAATAAGAAAGAGGAAATAATAAAAAAAAGCGTGTGGTGGGGCGGGGGTTCTCTCCACTTAATACGTAGATATAAAGTATATAAAAACTGCACACAAGCAAATCCTGTGCAAATCGGTGTCAGGTGAGCGATTCGAGTTCAACGCATGCGTCTGAACGTGAGGCAAGTCTTGGCTGGTTGGTTCATATGATACTGGCGACTTACCAGTGAGCAGCGTTTCCCCATGATCTTGTGCTGTGGAAAGGGTGATGCTGGTGAGTGCAAGTTACAAGGGCTGCGCTGTCATCTTAATTTTAATCACACGACTAACGCACGGAAGGGGTCATCAATCCAATTCTACCCCCTCCCCGCCCGCCCGCCCTGTGCTATCCCTGTAACACGATAGCAGGCGTCGCACCACAGTGAGCAAACGCACAGCGCGTCCGTCTCCTCTCAGCGAAGTGGGATTGCGTTGCTTCACGACGAACACGTGCAGGAGTATTTGGGACGTGAAAGACGGCAAAGCCAGTAAACCAGGGGCTGGATTACAGCACGGTTACAGCCTACGTATGCCTGTGCTGTGCTCACTCCCAACACGACAGCGTTATGTCTGCTCTTATCCCGTTCCCTGCTCTTGCCCCCAGTTCTGTATTTACTGGAGTTGGGTCTCTCCCATGGAGCCCTCGTTCCTGACAGAATATCACAGTGTACAAGGCTTAGAAACGACACCACAGAAAGCCCACTCAGTCCACTTAGCCTGTGTTGGTGCTCACTCCTCTACTGGACCTCTATACTTTAATCCTATTCCCCTGCTCTGTATCTCATCGTTTCAGTTCTGGTGCTCACTCCCACCCCTCCCCACTCCCCCCTCGAAGCTCTTTACTCTAATCCCATTGCTATTTTGATATTTTCCCTCCATTCCATTGCTATCTATCGTTCCTCTTCGAATTCCAGGACACTAGGCGTACTGAAGCAGTGAAGAGACAGTGTGGTGGGGTACTCTGGAAGGATGAAATCTATGAAGAGTTTTCCCACATAGATAGCAGTAAATTCTCCCAGAGATTTGGAAACACTTGTATCACTATAGTAATCCCAGATACATCCCCCGTCATCTCCTTTGGTTGGGCTGGATAGACCCACAGTTCACCCCTGGCTGAAATGGTCATTACGAGGAGAACAAGGCTGGTTCCCAGGCCTTACTGTGGAGCCCTGTGTCAAATACCAAATGAGAGTATTCAGAAGAAGCACGGAAACGCTCAGAGAAGGGAAGGAAATGGACGCACCACACAGGGCAGGATCATCATGTCGGTGTCCACAGCTTTGGTGTTGTGCTCCTCAGCAGGGGGAGCTTTACTGGGCTGCCACTTCATAGACATGGACTGGATGGTCTCGTCTGTAGTAATCATGTGGCCGTCGAACCTGATGGGAAGAGAGACAACAGGGACAGATCAAGACGGACGTAATCAATCTTCACAACCCAGCACTCAGAGATACCACTCGCTAAGCTGGTTTCGCTTTGAAATACTTTCTCTTTAATAATAATAACCCTTGCATTTGATATAGTGCCTTATCACGTCGTTGAGACGTCTCAAAGCGCTTCAAAGAATATACTGTAAAGTGTAGTATTTTGTGGGCGAAACATGGAAGCCAATTGTGCACAGCAGTGTTCCACAAATGTGGAGTGACCGACCACATTTTTTTGGAAGGGATTATTACCCCCCGGAAAGCTATCCGCCATTCAAGTAACAACTGGGTTCCTACTTACTGCAAGGAAATCTGCCTAACATTTTGCCCTGCCCGTGAATTGAACACGGGTCCACTCGCTTCTCTTTATATGCAGTGCCCAATATGCAGCGAGCTGCCTGTGTGATACCGAGCACTGCAATGGCAGAATCATTCCCTTGACCAACTCCAGCTTGAAACCAGAGGCAAACTATAATAATAATAATCCTTGCATTTGATACAGCGCCTTATCACGCCTTTGAGACGTCTCAAAGCACTTCACGGAATACACTGTAAAGTGTAGTGGCTGTGTATTTTGTGGGCGAAACGCAGCAACCAATTGCGCACAGCAGTCATGGATTGAGTGACCAAATTATCTTTTTTTTCTAAAAAGGGATTATTATCCCTGGAAAAGTGATCCGATTAACAACCGTGTTCCTACTTACTGTTGGGTAAACAGAGGCGCATGGCTCTATTCGTAGCATCTCGCCCATCGCTGCTGTGAAATCTAGCGGAAGTCCAATCCCAGGGCTGCCATGACCACTGTTCCCCAGGGATTCCTTGAGGTTGATTTCTCTAAACGCTGAGCTTCCCTTTACCAGGCATTAACTGCTGCCTCTGTGTATTGTTGTGACACAGAACCAGCCAAACACCAGAGCTGAATCTTGACCTCATTAAAGTTTGTGTTTCAATGAAAGCCAAACTGGGTTGAGTTTTAATCTTCTCTCTGGAGCGAGAGTGCTACAGGGTTTCTAAATGGGAGCCGCCCTGCATTAACACAGGGCTTTCAGGCTGAATGCAGAGCAGGGACAAAAGCGAGCAAACTTGCCTTGGTGTGGCCTGAAAACGTTCCCTAATGTTTACCTTTTCTGTACTTCGAGGAAAAAGGAGTCAGTTTTTCGCATCTGAAGCTCGAACATGGCTCGCAGGATGTGCAAAGGTGCGTTCAGTGCATCGTGAGTGATCTGAAACACAATGATGTGTGAATAGAGATGTGCTCAGTCTCCTCTTCCTCTCCTTTATGCTGCCCTTTTTACAGCATCTTTAGTAGGTGCTTGAGAAATAATAACAATAATAATCCTTGCATTTGACATAGCAATTTATCAGGATGTCGAGACGTCTCAAAGCGCTTCACAGGATATACTGTAAAGTGGAGTGACTGTGTATTCTGTGGGCGAAACGCAGCAGTGAGTTGCGCACAGCAGTGAGTTGTGCACAGAGGTGTCCCACAAACAGCAGAAACTGAGCAGAGAAACAGATTGAGAAAATAACAGGAGCTAATGACAAGTCCAAGAATCACAAACGCTACCTGAAAACCGAGTCCATAACAAGACTCTAAATTAATCTGATAAATACTTGAAAAAACAGCAGTGAAAAATGGGAATTAAGATTAGAAAGCTCCAGTGGGGGAGTGAGCACTAACTGAGATGATGGGTGGCTGAACGGTCTCCTAATGCACTCGGGAAGTGGTCCTGAGTCTATGAATTACCTGGAAGCAAATCTTCGTGGCTTCGTCGAGTCCCTCTAATGGGTCGGGCTTGGTTTCGTCCACTTCAAACACAGAGTTGCTCCGTTTAGACTCTGGATCCGGAGTGTGCGCCTTCTCCTCGGTCTCGGAATCCTTCACCTCAGCGACAGAGCTGATCTCTTTCTTGGAGGAGTACAGCATGATTGAGAGGGTCTGTGTTTGTGTGGGTGTGGTGTGTGTGTGTGGGGGGGGGGTTTGTTGGAAAAAAAGGGAAATGAGGGTGAATTTCAGGCCTTAAACCAACACAATCTAATATCCCGCCCACAAATACACATTCAATCCACTTTACAGTATGTTCTGTGAAGCACTTTGAGACTATGCGATAAGGCGCTGTATCAAATGCACAAATTATTATTATTATCCCCTGTCTCTCGAGCACTGGACTAGGGACCAGGAGACTCAACAGCCAATGAATTTGAGGTTGATAAACTGAGCAACAAATCTAACAGAACAGACTCAAAGGAAAGCCAGGTAGGTTCACATTGTCCTCATGAGGCGCTAACATATCCTCATCCACACGACACCCAGCCCTGTCCTGGAGCCCCACACTGCTTGTTAAAGACTTGTTGTTCAATTCAATCAACCCTTTATTAGATTTTACCAATTCGCGCTACTCTCTTCGCCAATTATAATAATCCTTGCATTTATATAGCGCCTTATCACGTCTTCTAGATATTTCAAAGCACTTCACAGAATATACTGTAAAATGAATATATATTTTATGGGCGAAACGCAGCAGCCAATTGTGTACAGCAGTGTCCCACAAACAGTCATGGATTGAGTGACTAAATTATTATTATCTTTTTTTAGGTATTATTATCCCCGGAAAAGCAATCCATCCATCGACTAGCAACTGGGTTCCTACTTACTGCTGAGTAAAGAGAGGCTTGTGGAGTAAGGAAACTTGCCAGCTTAGCTGTGGGTTTACACTATGTGTTGCTGTCAGACAGTGTCACAGTGTAAGACAGGATCAGGGTGAGACTCAGTAATAATAATAATCCTTGCATTTGATATAGCGCTTTTCACGTCTTCTAGATTTCTCAAAGCGCTTCACAGAATATGCTGTAAAGTTAATTGACTGTAATATTTGTGACAGCCAGGAAAACTATAGACCCTTCAACAATTCAGAGTAACGCAACAATACGTGCTAACAAGACAGGATATTGAAGTAATGGTGCATGGGAAATCATTTAAAATCCATAGTTTATAACGACTTGTGTAATAATAATAGTCCTTACATTTGGTACAGCGCCTTTCACGTCAGGCGGACATACTAATGGATGTCCTGTAAAGTGTGTGTTGTGTGGGAAACTTGCAGTGAATTTAAAATAATAATAATCCTTGCATTTGATATAGCACCTTATCACGTCTTCAAGACGTCTCAAAGCGCTTCACAGCATATACTGTAAAGTGTATTTTGTGGGCGAAACTGTACGTACAAATGAAATGAAGGGTAAATGACAAGTAATCGACCAAGTACATGAAAGCTCGTTCCCCGCCCTTACAGGGAAGTGAACAGCGACCAGCAAATACCGTGCCTTTCTCACACGTTCTCACCTCCAGATCCCGGAGAAGCCACAGCTTGCTGAAGCCCGTCCCTTTCGTGCATTTCTTCACCAGCAGTTTGATTAGACCGGACTGGAGGATGGAGGGGTGGATCTCTCCAATGCCATGCTTCTGTAACAAGAGGAGCGCAAAGATGGACATGAATGAGTTGGGGGGCAATGTCGTACACAGCACTGGCAACCTCAGCAGCAGAAATAACTCATCTCCTCTCCCCCCATGCACACACGCAGCCCCCCACACACAAACACACAGCTCCGACTTGACCAGCCTCAAAACAATTTAAAAAAAGCAAGCCGTGCAACAAACAATTGCACACAGAAGCAACAATAACTTGCATTTACACAGCGCTCCCCCTTCAGGGCATCTGCTTGGTGCGTTTAACAGTGGTGGAGCTTGACATCGAGCCGGGGGGAGGTGTCTGTAAACATGACCGAAACCACAGAACGTAACAGCACAGAAAGCCACTCGGCCCATCATCTCTGCTGGTTCTTTGACCGAAGCGGCTGTAACTCTTTGTTACACCTGTCTCCCTCCCGAACGCACGCTAGCAGCACAAGAAGTACACGGAACAAAAATCATCCCAAAACCCTGAGCTGCAGGGAGCAAACAGAACATCACAACGTGTCTCTACCAGATTTCCGTTACCTTCGTTACCTTCATGGTTTTGTAGAGACCCTTCAGAGCCAATGACTGGACCCATGTCGCCTCCACGGCGTCTGGGCAGCTCCCGTCTAGACTGGTCTGCAGGAGGTGGCTGTAGATTAACATAAAGTGCTGTAGGTACTGGGTCAGCTGGGCTTGCGGGGTCTTGTGGTCAGGCTCACAAACCTGCGTCAGCTGGTAATCTCTCACTGCAAAGCACAATGCAAAGCAGAGACTGAGACATATGGTCTGGGCAGAGTAACATCGTAATAGATCCACTGAACATTAGGCAAAATGCTGCAGATGCTGGAAATCTGAAATAAAAAAAGAAGTGTCTGGGAACACTCAGCAGGTCAGGCAGCATCTATGGAGAGAGGACATGAGTTTATGTTTCAGGTCAATTGACCTGAAATGTTAACTCACTTTCCTCTCTCGCTAGATACCGCTTGACTTGCTGAGTGCTCCCAGACACTTTTACTAACAGATCCATTGGCTATTTTGGCATCTGTCCATTAGTGGCTCAGTCGGGGGCATCTGAATCTGATCAAAATGCTGCGATTCACAGGCGTCACAAGGGTCTGTTGGTCCGTCTGCAAATGGTCATTATCCCCCGGGGGGCCGGGGGGAGAGTTGGGAAATAAAATGGCCACCTCTAATCAGGACACCAGTAGAACTTCCTGCTCTTCACAAACAGGATCACTGAATGGAAGCTTTGACAACTATCATAAGCTTTATCCGAAGGATAGGGGCAACTCTGTAAAATCCCACCCCCCCCAGCCATACTGAAGCCTCTGGCAGCCTGGAGTGTGAGCCCAAGTGCTGGCGTGCGGGGCTCAAACTCACAACCTCCTGTGGCAGAGGCCAGCCCACGGCACAGGGCTTCAGTAATTCACAGACAGGGACACAACAACAAACAACAGCAACTTGCATTCATATAGCACCCTTCTCGCGAGGTGGCGTGCTGGAACGTTTAAGTGTGTTAGTGTATTGGTAGAAAAAAAATGAAATCAGACGCAGTGGGGGCGTGTTGCTAGTTTCTGCGCAGTAACATTCTCTGATTATATCATCAGGTCACAAAACTACAAGTGTTTATTGCTTAACACGAACAACAAACAGTGCCTTTCAGCTTGGGAGGGCGTCCCACAGACACCCACCTGTTTTGCGCTTTCGAGTCTTTATATCGATCACTACGGCTTGATTCTTTTCTGTAAAATGCTTCAAGACAATGACATCGTGCAGCTCATTCGCATTGTCTATGTAAACAGTACGGGTCCCCCGGCACAGCACCTGCGGGGAAACAGCACAGCCCTCCGAGGGTTAATACCAGCAACAAAACACACACACACACACACACACAAACCGTACACAGCAGCAAAACTCCACACAAAACCCCGTCTGACACACAGATTGTTTCCGCTGCTCGGTGACTTGGATGCGATGGGGCACGGATTTATGTTCAGCAAGCAAAAGCGTGCAAAAAATCTTTTATTAGTGAATTAGATGTTTGAAAAAGGGGAAAGTTAAGAGTACTGGGGGTGGAGGGGGGGGTGTATTACACTGGGCAGCTCTTGTAGAAGTAAACTTCAGCTCAGACATAGTGGGAACGTGTTGCTAGTTTCTGCACTGTAACATTCTTGGATTATATCATCAGATTATATCAGCTACAAGTGTTTATTGCTTAACACTGACTAATTCAGAGAGCTCCAGTGGGTGAGCGAGCACCTACACAGACACAATAGGGAGGTGAAAGAGCTGGGGAAATTAGTTTAGGGGATTAGTCTAGCGAGCCCCAGTGGGGAGAGGAACCGCCAGCACAGACACGATTGGGGGAAAACCGGGGGAATGAGATTTAGAGTAGAGCCTCAGAGGGGGAGCCCCAGTGGAGGGGAAGCAGGCACCAGCACCGCCACGATGGGGAGATCCCCTACATTTATTACAGAGCAGCTCAGAATGCAACAGACAAAACAAAACACATGCAGACAGTTTGCACTCTCTCTCTGTGATCTGACCTCAGGAAATCCCACCAGCACGAGCAGGGTGAAGATGTTGGTGCGTTTCAGGCGGAAAGGCAGCTCTCTGATACAGTGCTCTGTGAAGGCTGTGGTCACTCCCTGCCACTGGGGGCTGCAGTTCAGGTCCCGCAGGATGTCAGCCACCGAGCACGCCCAGTCTAGGCTTATCCTGCTTCAAACAGGAGAGGAACAAAATCCAACACAAGTCAGGGGTCAGGCAGTCAGTCTGCGAGCAAACCTTACAAGCACAAGCCATTACACGCCTTCAAAATTCAGAACAGATTTCACTGGGTAAAGAGAGACTGCAGTAAACTCCTGATTACTGGTTGCTCCAAGGCAAAAGGGCTCAGTGATGAGTTATCAGGAGCGGAGAGATAGGCGTCTGTATAAAAACATACATAAATGATGTCCGGGATATTGACGGCACAATGACTTAACTGGTAGTGACAAGTTAAGCCAGGGTCGAGTTATCAGGCGTTTACCGTACTTTCACTGAGAGACAAATATGGCATCAATATATCCTGTGAAGCCCTTTGATGTCTCAATGCGCTATATCAAATGCAAAGATTAGGATTATTATTATCAACAGAGACAAAAAAAAGGTTTGAAGATTGTTTTAATTCAGGAAACTGTAAGACATTTGGAATGTAGAGAAGATAACAACAACAACGCCTTAACATAGCCGAGGGTAGCATCCTGGAGATAACCCCACTGGGGGAGCGAGCACCAGGTACAATAGGGAGGTACAACAGGTACTACGGATCGGTCCGTGTCTGCAAACTCTGAATGGTTCTCAACACAGCGTTGCCGTGGAGCAGGAAAGAATTCACTGCAATTATGATTGTCCCAGGGACGGTCCTCCACATTACAGACGGCACGAGCCTAAGTAACAGGCGATAATGCCCATGAACTTGCAGTTCCCCCCGGGGCTTGGGGGGGGGGGGGGGGGAAACAAGCTTAGCCTAGAGACAGAAGCAACGTAACATCTCACCTGTCCAAACACACTGCGCCCAGGCTGAATAGAACCTGTGTTGTCATCCAGCCCGGCAGTTTGCGGCCACCTTCGGCCGTGCCGAGCAGCGCCCAGGAGGCGAAGAGGACGTCCTTGACCGCGCGGTCGGCCTCGTGGGGGGGGATCCTTAGCAGCAGCTGCCCCAAGAGCCCCAGTGTCAGGTGGTATGTCTCGTTCAGGTGGCCGGCGTTCTGCATCACCACCCGGAACAGCAGTCCCAGCACCTGCCTCAGGTTCAGCAGCGGCGACGCTGAGTCCTGCAGTAACCAGAGCAGCATTAGGCGCTGCACAAATACCACACCCATACATCAGCCGCCGCCCGCCTGCCCGCTCACAAGCCAGGGCTCAGGCGCCAGGGCTCAGGCGCCAGGGCTCAGGCGCCAGAGGGAGATGTTAAGTTGTGCTTATTGCGACAATGTGAACAATTTTACTCGAGCAGTGAGACGCGCGCACACACACACACACAGGCACAAACGTTTGTGTGTGTGGAGAGGGGGTAGAAACACAAACACACATGCACAAACATGGTGGGAGAGAGTCACACCACTGCCCCGTGAAGTGAAGATGTCATGAATGAGGAAGAAGCTAATAGTGGGGTGGAGGAGGGCTGAAGGTGCTTGTAGAGTATAAACCACCGGCATGGACCAGCTGGGCTGAATGGGCTGTTCACATGTGATCGTGTTGTATGTAATTTTATGCCTCATTCAACAGAGAAAAGTGATAGAAACACGTTGGATTGAAATGAGACCAGGTTTCTTACCAGCTTGGCAGTGGGCAGCATGGCCGCCAGTAAGCCCAGAATCCTCTCCTGAGAGCACTCTGCAAATACCTGGTCCTGTCCGGGCGCTGTGCCCTCTTCCGGGCCTGGCTCCTTCTGTGAGGCTTTTGACCGGGAAACATCCGAGGCTCCCAGTGTGGAGTCTAGGCCTGAAGACAGAGAACAGTTGTCAGCACAAAGCTCGTGCAGGTTTGATCACCACTGGAGCAAACATACAGAGAGAGAGACAGACGGACATATAGGAGCTAAGAGAGCATGGCTGTCCCGATGTGAATAACCCTACGCTGCTCGATCTCCTCACGCTTCTTGATGGATTTCTTACCAGCCGGAATTATAGACGGCTGGAATTTATAAATAGGAAATACTGCAAAATCGCCCCCCAACATGTTGGTTCCTATTCCGGTTAAGAGGATACAGAATAGGGACATACTATCCAGTGAGACCTGCCTCTTCAACCCACAACTATAGTCACCTTCCACACCACCTGCTCTACATCCGGCCCCGCCACCAAGCAGCGCACCGAAACCCCCATCCTGTGTGCCGGACACTGTGTAAAGGCGAGATGCTGTTGACATACGGAATACAACAGGAGGGCTACCTGGCTGGAGTGCGTCCTCTGTGGACGGAGAAGTTTGCTGTTCGGTCAGGCTCTGGGCGGACGTCGGCACCCCTGGAGATTCGGTCGGGGCAGACTCGGATCGGGGGTCTGGGGAGCGAGGCGCGGTGTCAGACACGGAGCTGGGGGCTTCACTCCGCGAGGAGGAAGGAATGTGCTGAGGCTGCGTGGCCCTGGGGTGCCTGGCGCAGACCCCCGAGGCCGAGATTTGTTTGGAGGAAGCGGAGCCGGAACGTTCCGGCGAGTCCCTGCGAGCCCCCGGCACAGGAGAGTAAATGGCCGAGGATGACGGCGCTCCCTGATTCGAGACATCCGAGTCAGAGATCCCGGCGCCTTTACACGTCTCAGAATCGGTGGCCTCGCCTCCTGCTGCGGACACGTCCAGCACCTGGACACTCTCCCACTCGATGCTCTCGATACTCGCCAGCGTGGCCTCACTCGCACTCGGCTTGATCTGCAGGCACAACAAGAAGTTATATTTACACAGCGCCATTCACGTCGGAAGGACATCCCAAGGCGCTGAACAGTGATTTGGACCCGAGCTGGGTGTTGGAATCAGGAGGGGTGGAGGGCAGGTGTAATAATAATAATCCTTGCATTTGATATAGCGCTTTTCACGTCGGGAGGACGTCCCAAAGAATATACTGTAAAGTGAATTGTGGGCGAACGCGGAAGCCAATTGCTCACAGCAGTGTCCCACAAACAGTCATGGATTGAAAGTGACCAATTTATTATTGTTTTTAATTTTTGGAGGGATTATTATTAGGCTCTGTGTGGAGTAAGGAAACTTGCCCAAGGTTTCACCCTGCCTGGAATTGAACTCAGGTCTCTCGCTTCCAAAGCACTGAGCTACAGGACTCCACGAGGAAGGAAGTTGACCAAAGGCACGGTCGAAGAGGAGGGTCTTGAGACGGCCCTTGAAGGAGCCAAGGGAAGGGGCGAGGCAGAGGGTCTGTGGGATGGAGTTCCATGGGGTGTGGGCAGAGAGGCTGAAGGGTGTGGAGCAGCCCAGAGCCCGCTGAGCACAGGGAGCAGCCGGTCAGTATGGAAGTCGTGAAAACAAAACCAGGGATCAACTGGAGGCTCAGCAATCGACCAACAATCTCTGTTCGAATTCAAGGACACAGGGAGTTGCGATTACAGGTCCCGCAAAGCTGACGTCTCACCCACAAAACAGCACCACAAAACCCCAGCCACACTATGATCAGGGTCCAGATCTTTCTATATACAAGGAAGACAAGAGCACTCTGGCAGAAAATTCAGTTTAATTTGATAGCCGGCTTTCCACAGGCTACTGAAAAAGAAATTGAGCTTCCAAATTGAAGAATTTTTCACAGTTGCGCGCCGTCTAAGACTAGGTGGAATTTTGTGGCTCTGGGCTAAAAAAGTTGTGAATTTTGTGAATGTCAGCTTCTCTCTCCTACCTCCTCAATCCTTTCCCTCCTGTCCTGAGCAGCTCTAACTGGAGAGAGGACTGAGCTGAACATCATGATGCAATCAGCGACATTACAAAATAAAGCACACATTTCAGAGTTCCGACCGCACTCCCCGCTCACTCTGCTTACATATCTAAACAGGATGCCCAAGTCTTGCTCTTTAAGTACCTTAAAGGATAGTGAATGGGGTCTAGTTAGACAATACCTCATCCCCTTTACATCCCAATTCCATAAAATCTAAGAGACAGCGTTTACAGTAATAATAATAATCCTTGCATTTGATATAGTGCTTTACCACGTCATTAAGATGTCTCAAAGCGCTTTGCCAATTATATTGTAAAGTGAATTGACTGTGTATTTCGTGGGTGAAACTCGGTACCAATTGCACATAGCAGTGTCCCACAAACAGTCGTGGATTGACTGACCAAATTATTACTTTTTTTAAAAAAAGGGAATATTACCCCCCAGAAAGCTATCTGCTAATCAACTAACAACTGGGTTCCTACTTACTGCTAGGTAAACAGAGGTGCGTGTGGAGTAAGGAAACTTGCCCAAGTTTTGACACTGCCCGGGAATCAAACCCAGGTCCACTCTCGTGCGAGGCGAGCTCTCTGGCCACTGAGCTACAGGACTCTAATGGTTCCTACAGTAACAATGGTTCATGATATTTACATTGGAGGATCCCACATGGGTGCAGCTGGATTCGGCCGGCAACTGGTTGCTGGTGCTGGGGTCAGGAGCTGTGTTGGTGGAGAGTGTGGTCTCGGTGGAGGTGCCGGCCACGTTCACCTCCCCGTCAAGGGGCACGTTGGACAGCAAGGAAAGCACCGCAGAGTTCTTCAGACCTGGGACAAAAACCAAAGGGAAGAAGGTCAGTGGGACCAGCAGCTGGGTTCAGTTCAGGAGCTCAAGCCATTACAGGCCTTCAACATTCACAACAGATTTCACTGGGTTAACAGAGACTGCAGTAAACTGATAGCTGGTCGCTCCAACAGAAATGGCACAGTGATGAGTTATCAGGAGCGGAGTTAGGTATGTGTATAAATACATAAATAAATGACGTCCGGGATATTGACAGCACAATGATTGAACAACAACTTGCATTTATATTGCGTTCTTTACACAGGGCAGCATCCTGGAGCACTACTTAAGTGGTAGTGACAAGTTAAGCCAGGGTCGAGTTATCAGGAGGCTACTGTATTTCCACTGATAGAGACAACACGGCATCAAGAGAAGCCGTAAGAGGGGGAAGCAGTGGACGGTGTCTGGGTCCAGCCTGCAGGACAGGGAGCTGACACCCCAGCCCTGCCCTCCAGTGAGGCCCAAGCACAGGTGCTCGGTGCCAGGTAAGACGTTAAACTGAACTCAGTTTAACCCTAACTCGACTGCCTGTTCAGGTGGGTCTCTCAATTAGATAATAATAATAATAATCCTTGTATTTGATCTACTGTTAGGTCTTCCACCAAGTTGTAGGAAGGAGACAGATGAACAAATCTGCAGCAGATTTCAGAAAGATGCAAAACCAATAGAGTAGTGATAATGGGGGACTTCAATTATCCTAACAGAATGGCAAAATAACAGTGTAAAGGGCAAGGAGGGGGAAGGATTCCTGAAATGTGTGCAGGAGAACTTTCTGGATCAGTACGTTTCGAACCCAATGAGGAAGGAAGCAGAGCTGGATTTACGATACAAAGTGGGGCAAGTGGAGCAGGTTTCAGTGGGAGAGCATCTGGACAACAGTGATCACAACATCATGAAGCTTAGGGTACTTGTGGAGCAATCAAAGGTGAAGATACTCAACTGGAAGAGGGATAATTTCAGTGAGTTAAAAAGGAACCTAGCCAAGGTGGACTGGAAAGATTGGCAAGTAAAACAGCTAACGAGCGATGGGAAGCCTTCCAGGAGGAGATAGCTCGGGGACAGATCAATCACATTCCCACAAGGGGAAAGGTCGGGCATCCAAACCTCCCTGGATGAATAAGGAAATGGGATTAAAATAAAACAGAAAAAGGAGGCTTATGATAAATGTCAGGTCCAAAATACAGAAGATAATCAAATAGAATATAGAAAGTACAGAGGAGAAGTGAAAAAGGAAATAAGAGGTGCAAAGACATTGTATGAGAAAAGATTAGCGGGTAACATAAAAGGGAACCCAACGGTATTTTATAAGCATATAAAGAATAAAAGGTTAGTCAAAGGTAGGGTGGGTCCAATTAGGGAGCAAAGAGGAAATCTTGTGGAGGCAGGGGGCATGGCTGACGTACTGAATGAGTACCTTACATCTGTCTTCACAAACGAAGAGGATGCAGCCAATGCCACAGTAATGGAGCAGAGGGTAGAGAAATTGCATAAGATAAGAATAAACCAAGAGGAGGTACTAAAAAGGTTGACGGTGCTCAAGGTAGGAAAGTCACCCGGTCCGGACAGGGTGCATGCTAGGTTACTGAGGGAAGTAAGGGTGGAAATAGTGGAGGCTCTGGCCACAATCTATCAATCCTCCTTGCACACCGGGGTAGTGAGAGGCCTGGAGGACTGCAAATGGTATTCCCCTGTACAAAAAAGGGCAGAAGGATAAACAACAACAACAAAAAATTACATTTTTTATAGCGCCTTTCACATCGGGAGGTCGTCCCAAGGTGCTGGACAGAGAGTTATGGACCCGAGCTGAGGACCCGGGAACTATAGGCCAGTCAGCCTAACAGCAGTAGTGGGGAACTTCTAGAGACTATAATCCGGGACAAAATAAATTTTCACTTAGAAAAATATGGGTTAATAAAGGACAGTCAACACGGATTTGTTAAAGGCAAATCATGTCTAACAAACCTGATAGTGTTTTTATGAAGTAACGGAGAAGGTGGGTGAAGGTTGTGCAGTTGATGTCGTTTATCTGGATTTTCAAAAGGCGTCTATAAAGTGCCACATAAGAGATTTACAAGCAAAATAGAACCCCACGGTATAAAAGGAACAGTGGCAGCGGATACACAACTGTCTGGGAGACAGGAAGCAGAGAGTGGTGGTGAACGGTTATTTTTCTGACTGGAGGGAAGTGTGCAGTGGTGTCCCCCAGGGGTCGGTATTGGGGCCACTGCTGTTTTTGATCTATATAAATGACCTGGACTTGGGTATAGGAAGTACAGTTTCCAAGTTTGCAGATGATACTGAGCTAAGAAAAGTAGTAAACAGTGAGGAGGATAGTAGCAGACTGCAAGAGGACATAGATAGACTGGTAAAATGGGCCGACACGTGGCAGATAAAGTTTAATGTGGAGAAATGCGAAGTGATGCATTTTGTGAGGAAGAATGAGGAGAGGCAATATAAGCTGATGGTACAATCTTAAAGGGGGTGAAGGAACAGAGAGACCTGGGGGTCATATAAGTAAAGCTTTGAAGATGGCAGGACAGGTAGATAAAGCTGTTAAAAAAGCATATGGGATACAAGGCTTTATAAATAGGGGCATAGAATACGAAAGTCAGGAAGTTATGATGAACCTTTATATAAAACACTGGTTAGGCCTCAGCGAGAGACTGTGTTCAGTTCTGGGCCCCACACTTTAGGAAGGATGTCATGGCATTGGAGAGGGTGCAAAGGAGATTGACCAGAATGGTACCAGGAATGAGGGACTTCAGTTATCAGGAGAGGTAGAGAAGCGAGGATTATTCTCCTTGGAGCAGAGAAGGTTAAGAGGAGACTTCATAGAAGTTTTCAAAATTATGAGGGGATTCAATAGGGTGAACAAGAAGAAGCTATTTCCACTGTGGTGGGTCGGTAACCCGAGGACACCGATTTAAAATATTTGTTAAAAGAAACCGAGGGGAGGGGAGGAGAATTTTTTTTTCCACAGCGAGTTGTTCAGATCTGGAATGCATTGCCTGAAGGGGCGGTGGAAGCCAATTTGATAACAGCTTTTAAGAGAGAAGTAGATAATTATTTGGGGAGGACAGGTTTGCAGGGCTATGGGGAGAGCGGGGGGGAGTGGGATTGCATTGGATAGCTCTTTTCAAAGAGCCGCCACAGACACGATGGGCCGAATGGCCTCCTTCTGTGCTGTATAATTCTATGATTCTATGATGTAGCGTCTTATCACGTCTTCAAGACGTCTCAAAGCGCTTCACAAGTAAAGTAAAGTGAATTGACTATGTTTTGTGAGCTAAACGCGGCAGCCAATTGCACACAGCAGTGTCCCACAAACAGTCGTGGATTGAGTGACCAAATTATTATTATTATTTTTAATTTGAGAAGGGATTATTAACCCTGGAAAAGCGATCTGCCAATTGACTAGCAACCGGGTTTCTACTTACTGCTCGGTAAACAGAGGCTTGTGGATTAAGGAAACTTGCCCAACATTTCACCCTGCCTAGCAACTGAACCGAGGTCCTCTCACTTGTGAGGCGAGTGCTCTAACCACTACACTACAGACCTTCTAATTTCCAGGGAATACAAACCTATCTTATGCAAACCTGTCCTCGGAATTTAACCCATTAAGCCCCAGTGTCGTTCTAGTGATTTCGCAAACACAGAAAAGGGCCCCCACCATTCCTGCCCCACAACTTACTTTTCCCTCGATGTGCTTTGAGGAGATACTCTGTGATGAGTTGGGTGCAGTTAGCCTCCAGCACCTCAGTGTGAGAGAGGACTTTGGGATTGAGCTCCTCCTCATCTGATTCCCGCTCTGTCACCAGGTGTGCAGTATAGAGAGCCAGTGCGCTGAAGAGCAGCCAAGTGTAGTTGTGGATGTACGGCTGAATCAGCCGGTGCCGGTCACTAATGCGTATGGTCACCATGGGAAACACAGTGATGCTGTGCCCGGGCAAATGGCTACGGAAATATAACATAGAGAGAGTCACCGACACCAGTCTCGCTCGGAGACGGAGCAGAGAAATAAATAGTAATCCTTGCCCTTGCGTGTACTTTGGGGGCGAAATGTAGAAGCCAATTGGGCACAGCAGTGTCCCACAAACAGTTGTGGATTGAGTGACCAAATGAAAAATACATATATACATTTTGAAGCTATTAATCCCGGAAAGCGATCCGCCAATCGACTAACAACCGGGTTCCTACTTACTGCCAGCTAAACAGAGGCGTGTGGAGTAAGGAAACTTGCCTAAGGTTTCGCCTGCCTGGGAATTGAACCCAGGCCCTCTCGCTTGCGAGTCAAGTGCTGTAACCACTGAGTTACAGGACTCCAAGCATTAACAGCTCATAGAAGCCTGTGCTCGTGGGTCAGACTGCCGTGCAGGAGGCAGGGCAGCGCTGAGGGGCGCCCACACCCCCTGTTACCTGTCGGGGTATTTCTTGGCCGAGTAGCAGCCGTAGCACAGATCAAAGTCATCGCACACGTTGCAGTTGATCCTGCGGCCGATGATGAGCCCCTGGCAGTGATCGCAGGCGTACTCCATGTTCACCATCCTGTGGCAATCCTCGTGGTGCTCCGGCATCACCCCACCTGAACAACAACAAGAGAGAACTCACCAACACTGTCAACACCAGGTACATCACCACCATCACCACAACCACACCAAGTACATCACCAGGGTCGAGCTGCCTAACAGCCTCAGCAACACAGCAAGGCCACGCACCAACAGTGGGTCATTGCCCCACTTTGCCAATGTTACATTGTACCACAACAACGACGACCAAACTGCATTCATACAGCGCCTTTCATGTCGGCAGGACGTCCCAAGGAGTTGGACGAGCTGTGGGTTGGGATCAGAGAGGTGTGAAGGAAAAAAAGCAGACAGCTTAGCTCTGTTTTGCTGCTGCAATGTCAAAGCAATGTGTGAGGTTGGACTAACGCCAGCTGTGTACTGTACTGTACAGTGCAGCCTCAGCTCCACATCAGCAGCTACGGTTTGACAAACGAGTTTGAAACAAGAATGACTCAGAGCTCATAATCGATGAAATCCATTAATTGCTCGGCTCTGCCTCAGGAGCTGAGTAATTCCCTCTTGGAGAAGCTCCCTTCTCTTCTCTACCTCATCGCTCAGGGCCTTCAAATCTCAGGAATTCCGCAAAGTACTCTCATTACCACGGAAGCTACCAACAATGGTTTTATTTACTGCACAAATAACCGAGACCCAGGGGAATCCAAACCAAAACCTCTGTTGTTTGCTGGATCTCAATCCTTGGCTGAGGATCAAGCAGCATCTCTCACACACACACACGCACATCTGGGTCTCTGGTGTGTCCGCACTCTGAGGCCGAGAGAACATTTCTACACCTTCCCCCAAACCCTTGTTTCCAGGACTCTCCAGGATTGGGAGAGGGAGAGGGAAGAGGAGGGGGGAAAGGCGAGGAAGTAAATGGGTATGAAAAGATTGCTCTTTAAAAGAGGCAGCACAGACACAATGGGCTGAATGGCTTTTTTCAGTGTTGTAAATGTTTATAGTTCTCCGGTTCTCCATCCAATGGCGGAAGCCAGTTACCTGAGAGAGATTTGTAGGCTGGGTGATTTCATAGGAGTGGAGTGGAAGTGGGGGAGGAGAGAAGAGGAGAGACAGAGAATTGCAGCTGGTTTGTGAAGAACGATAGCTTATCGGCAACGCAGCAAGGAAGGCCGCATTCGCAGGTCTGCGAGTTGTTTAGCGAGTGCACGCTGTGTGAGGGGCACTTTAAGTTGGAATCAAAGTTGAATTCCTAACCCAAAATTGTTCCAGACGCCTGTTGCTCTCCCTCCAACTCAGGCTCAGGTTCTTACCAAGGAAGCAGGTTTTACACAGGTCCATGTCTGGACACTGCAAACACCGGTAGCGATGCCAGGGTGCGATCTTGTGACAACCGTCGCAGGAGATCTCCACGTTCAGCAGGTCACAGTACCTCGCCACAAACATGTGCATCTGTCACACAGCAGAGAAAAGGTACGTTAACAACAGGTCAAACCTTAAACAACTCTCAACATCTCCTTCAGACACACGGAATGCAATCAGTAACCTACCCAGCAGGAGGCGCACCCACGCACACACACACGCACACACAAAAATACTCATACAACGTACATGCAGTACACACTATATATACTGTATAACTCACACACAAAAATGCATACAATGTACATACCATATACTATACAATACACACTATACACTGTATAACACACACACACACATGCACGCGCGTACACACACTAAGCAGATCCTTGTCAGACCAATTTTCTAAAACGTATCCACAATTGACAGGTTTGTGAATTTTCCCTGCTCCTATAAGAATGTGAGGGAACAGCACATTGTCTTTCAACATTCACTCTTCATATCAAATACAAAGCAACAAAGTTAAGACGCACACACACAGACACACACTCACAAAGTTCTCTTGCTCCTCTCACACTCGTATAATTAAATGCACAGTGTTCCTATGAAGACTTCTCTTACCCGCCTCTTCTCCTCGGGGGTTGAGTTGGACACCTTTTCGTACCAGAGACGAGGCTGGATTCCATCCTGACACTCCTCCATCCACTCCTTATTGCACTCATAGTCCGCAATCTCGTCCTCCTCACTCCACTGGCTGGACATGTGCAGAACAAGGCCATTAGAGGGAGAGGTGGAGACAAGCAAGTAATCAGGTCCCAAAGGAAGCCGCGGGCGAGAAAGGGTTATTACTAGGTCCTAGAAAACTGGGCGCTGATGTGAAATGCGTGCTGACCTTGAGAACAGGAGAGTTCTGATAGATGCCTAGCATTGTCACACACCCACACACAAGTTATAAATACTCTTATGAGCAAAACTCACTTAGAAGACGGAAGTTGAAACATCTCTTCCAGCAAACTGCTGCCCATTAGAGTAGACAAACTTGGTGGTCGTAGAATCATAGAATATTACACACAGAAAGAGGCCATTCGGCCCATCGTGCCTGTGCCGGTTCTATGGAAGAACTACCCAATCAGTCCCATTCCCCCGCTCTTTCCCAAAACCCATGCAAATTTTTCCTTTGGCACTATGCATTGGTTGGGATAATTTCACACATAATTTTACTCTGCGATGACGCTTATACACACAGGCACACCACCTCGAAGTGCAGTGGGAAAATGTCCGGAGCTGAGATTTTTATGAAGACACTACGTTCTTACTCACTCGATAGCGCTGTCGTGTACACTGATGTTCTCCTGGGACATCGCCAGCAAGAGATCCGGCAGCTTGACATCGACGAAGAAGGACATGTCCTGGGGCTCCCAGCCCATATCCAACAGGTGCAAAAGGCAGGTCTGTACACAGGAGAGCGCAGGGAGCAGAGACCTGCGATGAGGAGAAGGACAAAGGTCAGCCCACTATCCACGATGGTAAAGCTTATAATAGCAACAATAATAATCCTGGCATTTGATAAGAAATATCAAAGTGCTCCACAGGATATACTGTAAAGTGGATTTTGTGGGCGAAACGCACAGCAGTGGCCCACAAACAGTCATGGATTGAGTAACCAATTTCTTTTTGGAGGGAGGGATTATTACCCCGGAAAGCAATCCGTCAATCGATTAACAACTGGGTTCCTACTCACTGCTAGGTAAACAAGAGCTGTAGTAAGGAAACGGTTTTGTCCTGCCTAGGAATCAAACCCGGGTCCTCTCGCTTGCGAGGCAAGCGTGCTAACCACTTAGCTATGGGATTCCACAAATGGTTCTTTGGAGGGGGTGCACGTACCCATCTCTCTCAGGGTTGAACTGACGGACAGCTTTGACTAGGAGCAGCACGAGGCTGTAGTAAGCCTGTCGGAGATCATTCCACAGCTCCTTACCGCAGCCTTCCAGCTGCTTATGATAACTACAGGAACAAAAGACACCAGCGGTTAATCACTGCACCATGAAGCCAAGAACAGTAAAGCAGCACAATAATACCCAAGCCCCGGGGACACTGAACTCCAGCCAATACAACAGATCGCCTCACTCAGACACACACTCAGCGCAGCATCAATCTGATTTGTTTTGTGGACCTATTTGTTAGGTCAGGGTATTAAGGGATACGGGGGCAAGGGCGGGTAATTGGACTTGAGGTAGAAATCAGCCATGATCTTATAGAATGGCGGAACAGGCTTGAGGGGCTGAATAGCCTCCTCCTGTTTCCATGTTTCAATGGTGCGGGGGGGTGGTGGCTGGCGTTGGAGAGAGAGATGGTTAACCCCAGGCAGGGGACAGGTTTCCTCACTGCAACCAAATCATCAGAGCTCTGACACTCAACTATGGGGTCACGTGAACAGTTGACATGATGCACCTCACAGAATGGGCCAGAGGCAGACCCTCTCTCTCCCCCCAGGACACAGTCATCACTGGTGATGATGGACACACACACACGCCACATACACAGTCGCCACATACACAGACATACGCACATACACCGCACAAGCAGAACACATACACATAAACTCTCAAAAGCAAACGCAGCCCCGAAGGCCTCTTGCGCGTCTCTTTACTTCGCAGAGAAACCTGCACCGTAGCTCATGTGAACCAACTACTGCATCCTGCTGAAAGCAGGAAAAGGGAAAGCAAAAGGGGAGAAAGAGATAGACCAGCCACTGGCTGAGAAATGAATGCTTCATTTGTGGACCGCTTACTTCACTGAGATGTTGGGGGAGGGGGGGGGGGGGGGGGTGAAGGGAGAGAGTTACTTATAATAAACTCTTGTGCAAGAACTCCACAACCATCCACTGCCAACCATCATCCAACTTCTGGGGGGGGTGTTCATGAGACTAAAGGTAACTCTGAATGCAAACAATGCTTTTTTGTTTCACTGTGTGTGTGTGTGCGTGTGTATGTAGGGGTGTGTGTGGGGTATGTGTGTGAATGTGTGGTGTGTGTGCTTGGGGGTGACTGTGCATGTGGGCTATGTGGTGAGTGTGTGGGTGGGTGCACGCAAGTACATATGTCTGCATGTGTGGTGTGCGTGCATGTACATGTGTGTGTGTGTGTGGGTGTTCATATTTAAAATAAATCCTAGAAATAGAAAGTAAGCTTAAAGAAAACCCTCAGCAGGAGAGGAGTCCTCCAACACTTGATGTAAAGTCCACAAACAATGTTCCTCTTTATACACACACCCCACTCACACACACACAGATATAGCACAACACACACACCCCCACGCCATACACACACACAACCACCACACGCACCCCACACACATACCACCACACACACCACCCCAACACCAACCACCCACACACATACAAAATTCGCCAAAAGATATCATCTCTGCCCTCTTCTTTTAAAAGGTTGTGTTTCTCTTGCCTGACGTGCACTTGAGTACAAAAAGGAAGCTCTGTGCGAGAGAGATGGTGCCAGCTTCCTCAAGAAACCTTATTTTGGAAAGGTTTTTTGTTAATGTTGACACGGTTGGTTTGATTTGTGTTGTATTCCGGGCATTCCTCAGTGACAGCAGCTACAATCAACGGCAGACAGCCAAGCTGGAAAAAAGCTGTTCACTGGGAACCAAACAGTCCCTGTTGCAGGGCGGTCTGATGGGGGAGGTTGCCAGGTGTGTGTGGCCCATAAAGAGGGATTGTTTCCCTTATAAATCTCTCGGCCAGAAGCCACAAGGCTCCTGAACTTTGTTCAGCCAAACACAATGATGCTCTGTCCACAGCGCAACGGTTTGTGGGCAGTAGTTGCCATGTGGAGTGACACGTCTGCAGAGTCTCCGGAACCCAAACCCGAGGCAGGGAAGCTTTCTTGCAGAAATCTACCAGCCGCACAGTGAGGGCACTTTACACTTCTACACCACCACACGCCAACACACACATGCACACACGCCAACACACACGCCAGCGCCAACATACACGGCAACACACACGCGCGCGCACGCCAACACACACCACCACACACGCGCGCGCCAACACACATGCCAATACACACACGCGCTCCAAAACACACACGCGTGCCACACACATCGACCGCTGCGCCCCATCCCCCCGCACAACCCAACCCTCCCCAAATACCTGATCAGTTCTTTCTGACAGGCCAACACTTCCTGCAAAAAGAGAACGCAGGAGAACTGGAAGAGATGGGGCTGCCCCAGGGAGTGCAGACACTCGCTCACCACCTTCAGCACCTCACTGATGGCCTTGGCCTGGGCTTTCCGCATTGACAGAACCTGCACAACACTAACAGCAGAGGAGAGAAGCACAGGTAACCACAGAGGTCTATCTTCCACGCACGAGATGTGAAGCTTCATGTAGCACAATCAATAGATTTCCCCCATCACAAACCAAGACAATCTCTTCACTATGTATCTCCGCGTAATAGTTTTCAGCTCGACTATGCAAACGCCCTGATGTCGGCCCCACCCAACTCCTCCCTCCACAGGCTGCAGATTATCCAGAGCTCTGCAGCCCATGTCCTCTCCCGCATCAGGGTCCATGACTCTATCACCCCCATCCTCGCCTGACTCCACTGGCTTCCCATCACACAGAGGATACAGTTCAAGATCCTGGTCCCCACCTTCAAAGCCCTCCATGGCCTCACTTCTCCCTAGCTCTGTGACCCCCTAACACCCTATCATCGTATAATCCCTCTGCTCAGCAGACTCCAGCCTGCTTCACATCTCCCACCTTGCCGTCCCCACCATTGCCTGCGGGCCTTCAGCGTCACTGCCCCCATCCCACAGTCCCACCGCCTTGTCCCCTTCCTTACCTTCTTCAAGACCTGTCTCAAGACCATCCTCTTCGACTATGCCTTCGGTCACCCCCCTTACCCTACCCTGCCTGCCTTCCACCCCTCCTGATCCCAACCACCTGGATCCCTGACTGTCCAGCGCCTTGGGACGTCCTCCTGACGTGAAAGGCATTGTGTAAATGCCGTGTGTCGTTGGTGTTGTTTAATGTTGGTCTAACATACGAAGACCATTTCACTTTGAATGGTCACTTTGGACAAATTACCTGTCGGACGAAATACTGGAATCCTTCATGAAGCCCAAGATCTTCTTCAGCGTTGGATACTTGTCCTGGATTGGGACCATCTTGAACTCTTCCATCGACTTGAGGGACAGTAAGCGGAGGCGTTTGCCTTTTGCAAATGCAGGCTTAGACTTGGAGTTGAAAGGGGAGGGGAGGTCAGTGTGAGGGGAGACTGGGTTTTCGCTGGGCGTCGTGCTCGTCGAGGAACCCTGGCTCTCAGAGCGTGGACGAACAGAAGAGTCCTCCTTCGGGGAGGAGGGGGCCACCTGCTGAGACTTTGACGCTGTTGGCAATGGTTCTGTTGATTTCTGAGAGGCCTTGGGCGGGGGTGCAGCTTGGCTGGCTGGTGCGTCAGTAAACAGTTTACAGTCTTCTTGTGCCTCCTTCAAATGGCCAACATCTGTCCTCCTAGCGTCCATTGGGGGTTCAGTGAGCTTTGTCCCCAGGGGCGCAAATTTAAGTAGCAAAAGGCTCTTCCCAATCCAGTTCTTAGCTTTAACCAAAAAGATGAAAGATTTAAACCTACAAAAGGTTACAGTGATAACCAGAGACAGCAGCAATACTTTACACATGAGCATGAGTGGTTTGGTTCAAGAAGACCCTTCGATCTCATCCTTCCTGAGTATCTACTCTGCCGTCCCTCCCACAACAGTATCGATCAAGCCTTTTATTAAACCTGGCTTTAGTAATAATAATAATACTTGCATTTGATAAAGCGCTTTATGTCTTAGACATCTCAAAGCGCTTTACAGAATATACGGTAAAGTGAATTGACTGTGTATTTTGTGGGCGAAACAAGGCAGTAGCCATGGATTAAGCGCCCAAATTATTATTATTATTTTGGAGGGATTATTACCCCCGGAAAGCGATCTGCCATTTGACTTTTTAATCAGATTCCTACTTATACTTAGGTAAACAGAGGAAACCCGATCCCAAACTTAACCCTAGTGATTGAGAAGCTTATTTACTCACCTATGTTTTCTGGGTTAACCTTATTCTGCTCTTCTGAATCTTCTTTGTCACCCACCATGATTAGATACTTCTGTTTAACCTCCATCTGCAGGTGGGGGGGGAGGGGGGAAGAGGAAGTGAAAAACATTGCGTGAGATGGTACTGCCTTTTGCTGGTGCAGGGCAAGGGGTGACTGACTGGCAGCTAACACTGAGTACTTTGCCCAGGAAACGTTCCTTGCCTGCGAGGGAGAACGTTTACAAAGTTCCCAAGCATTATTTACTATAACGAGCAACAACAACTTGTATTTATATGGCGCCCCTCACGCAGGGTAGCACCCCAGAGCGCTTGACAGTGGCGGAGCACGACGCTGAGCCGGGAGGAGATGACCGTAGGCATGGTCAAATAGGAAGGTCTTCAGGTGCGACTTGAAGATGGGGAAGGAAGGGGCAAGGCAGAGGGAGAGAGGAAAAGAGTTCCAGAGTTTCGGGGCTTATCAGGAAACTCACGATCCAAGTCTGCATCCCCTCGGCTAGTGAGTAGACCTCAACCATCTCTTCACTCACACCTGAGGAACCACCACTTGCAACTAGAGAGAGAGGGAGGGAGCAAACACACAGGTTAATCACCTCTATCCAAGACGGCATTGGCCAACACAACCAAAACTAACTAGTTGGCATTGCTCCTGGCAGAACAAGACTTTTACAGTTAAATTCAGGGCTTGCAAGTTCAAAGGAATCCCTGAAAACTCCACATGATCTTAGCCTTAAGATCGTAATAAAAATAATAATCCTTGCATTTGATATAGCACCTTATTACATTGTTGAGACGCCTCGAAGCACTTTGCCAATTATATTGTAAAGTGTAGTGACTGTATTTTGTGGGCGAAACGCAGCAGCCAATTGCAGTCCCACAAACAGTCGTGGATTAAGTGAAGTGACCACATTTTTTTCAAAAAAAACTTATAGCTTTCCAATTTAAGATCATGCATAATTCCAAATGTCTCCAGGGAGGAGAGGAGGGGCTGCGAGAAAACGGGCAAAAGAGGAAAAAAAAACAAAAGCTTTAAAACACGAATCTTAGGGAATACGTTCATGGTAAAAAAAAAATTCAATCATTTAGTATAAATGACATTTTAATCCTCTCTCTTTCTCTGTGTCTTTACCATTTTAAGAAACAATTTGGGGTTTACCGTAAGCATGGAGTGCAGTGTACAGGTCGGGAGTGTGGTACAACATGGCAGCAAACACGCCGTTCACAGCTCGGTCAACTGTGGACCCGAGGCCAAATCCACTGACTGCCTCCGACTTTGGTGACTGTTTCTTGCACAGATTTATAAGCCTCTGAACTGGCTCAAACTGCGAACTGCCAGCATCCTCTTGCGAAGGGTCCCAAAGAGCCATCTGGACCAAGAAACTCCGGATGTCATCGTTGCTCTTAAAACACACAGCGGACGGACAAAAGGCAGGATTAATCCTTGACCACACAGGCACCGGTTTACACCACAGTTTATAAGGGATTATTACCCCTGGAAAGCGATGCACCAATTGACTAACAACCGGGTTCCCCGGAATCAAACACTTGTGAGGTCCTCTCGCCAGCGAGATGGACGTGCTAACCACTACGCTACGGGACTTTTCTGTATAAAGATTACCATGTGCGTATGGTGTGCCGCCGGCCTGAGGTGCAGCGTCTCTGCAGGGGTTTCGCTTGCTGGCGGGCACACTCCGTGCCTCAAGATGGGTCTCCAGAGCCGGGACTCAACCACAGCAGCAATCTTCTCCGCCAGCAGCTCTGGCACCGTGAGCAGCTCTTCACAGAGAAAGATTGGGGGGACAATAAAGCATCATCAATGTCAATGCCATCATCAGCAAATAATAACAATAGTCCTTGCATTTGATACCAGCACCCTATCGCGTCATTGGGACGTCTCAAAGCGCTTCACAGAATATACTGACAAGCGGAGTGACTGTATATTTTATGGGACAAACGCGGCAGCCAATTGCGCACAGCAGTGATCCACAAACAGTCATGGATTGAGTGAGCAAACCTCTTCCCTTCTGTTTTTTCTTTGGAGGGATTATTACCCACAAAAGCGAACCGACCATCTATTAACTGGGTTCCTACTTCTTGCTAGGGAAACAGAGGTGTCTTGAGTAAGGAAATTTTAAGGAAGTTTCGCTCCGCCCAGGAATTGAACCCAGGTCCTTTCAAACAAAGGGAAAGCATGCAACTTCTAAGAGGCAGTGAATCAATTGCAAAGGATGCAGAGGTTTTCTACATCAAAGCCTGAAGTGTATCAATAATTAAGTTTGTATTCAAACAAAAGCTAATTAGATCCAAAGAGTATAGACTATTTGGTCCATCAAGACTGTCATATCACTTTATTTCATCGTGACTTTATTATCTCATTTCCCCATCTTTTCTCCAGATCCTTTACATTCTTGCCTTGTAATCAGGGCAGTTGTGTCCCACATTCTTACAACTCTCTCTGTGTGAAGAAGCCTTTCTAATCTCACTTATAAGAAGCTTAGCGCTAAGTTTAAGACAATGTCCCTTGTTTTGAATCCCTCCAGCAGAGGAAACAGTCTTCCACTGTCCAGTTTGTCAATTCCCTTAATAATAATAATTCTTGCATTTGATATAGTGCCTTATCACGTCGTTGAGACGTCTCAAAGCGGTTCACAGAATATACTGTAAAATGGGTTGACTGTGTATTTTGTGGGTGAAACGAGGCAGGCAATTGCACCCAGCAGTGTCATGCATTGAGTGACATTTTTTTTCCCCGACGTAGTCCAAGCTGACACTCCCAATGACAATCCAACGGAGGAGTTCCAACAATGTTAAGTAACTTTCTTGTTACTTTAAACGCCTCGACCAGATCACTCAACCTCTGCAGCTCAAACTAACTATCACCCAAAGGCTTAAAGGCATTTTTTTGAGAATGCTGTTCAGCTTTGAATCCTTTCTGCTTCTCCGCTCTAGACTGGAGGAGTACTTTGGTCATTAAAGCTAGATATTGCTATCAGAGTGGAGCATTGCACAATGTGTAACAAAAGGCAGTGCACAACTGACTGGAGATCGAGGTCAAAGCTTTTTAGTGAATGTTTTGTCATGTTTTGGAGCAGCTTCTCTCCCCAAGATTTTCGACTTCAGCTGCGGCAGAGAGAGGACTCTTACCACAGGTGGATTTTAGAGCCATGGTCTGAGAAGCCAGACGCCCCATCAGCCGGGACACAAGCAGCTGCAGGTCAGCGACCCAAGGTACTCGCACATCCGGCAGCCCATAGGATTTGACGACGAACTTGTATCCCCACTCGTTGTTGCAGTTGTCCGAGTGGAAGAGGAACTGCAGTCGTGGGCCTGACTTGAATGTTACTTCCTGCAACAGATCGGGATTATGATAATAATAATCCTTGCATTTGATATTGTACTTTTCATGTCTTCTAGACATCTCAAAGCGCTTCACAGACCATCTTGTAAAGTAAATTGACTGTATATTTGTGGACGAAATGTGGCAGTCAATTGCGCACACAAACAGTCGTGGATTGAATGACCAAATTATTATTGTTTTCTTTTCTTGAGGGATTATTATCCCCAGAAAAGGGATCCGCCAATCAACTAACAACCGGGTTCCTACTTGCTGCTAGGTAAACAGTGGCGCGTGGAATAAGGAAACTTGCCCAACATTTTGCTTTGGCGGAAATAGAACCCAAGTCTCTTGCTTATGAGGCGAGTGCTCTAACCACTCAGCTACACGGGACTCAAAAAAAAAAAGAACATTTTTCAGCTATTGCAGTTTTCCCCTCAGGGCCGTGGAGCTGCCCCAGTTAGCCACTACCAGAACAGACGGAAGCAACAAGAGATCTGAAATTCCCACTAGCACGTGAGAGAGAGAGAGAAAGAGGAGTCATTCAAAAATAGAATGCTCGTTGCCGTGGGCTTCAGAGGTACTGTACATAATAATGGTAATCTTTATACTCCATACAGGGCCTATTACATCGGAGGACATCTCAAAGTGCATCACAGCATCTACTGTAAAGTGTGGTGACTGTGTGTTTTGTAGGTGAACGCGGCAGCCAAGTCCCGCAAACAGCCATGAACCGAGTAAGCGATTTTATCTGCGGGATTGTTGGCCAAGACACCAGGAGAGAGAGCGAGAAACTCCCTTCTCTTTCCGAATAGCGCTGCTGGATCTTTAACGTCTACCTGGTTATACATAAACAAAGCCTGACAATTCTCTCACCGTGGGCCATTTCTCTGTCCCGACCTTTCCATCGTAACGCACTTTCACTCCTCTGGAGTCTGTAAATTCCAGGTAATCGTATCTGTGAGGAAAAGCATTCTGATGTGAGATTCCGAGCAGTCACAGATAGTTATAGCATTTCACACTCACAAGGAGCCATGCGCTGACCGGCCACAGAGGATCATAGAACCCCAATGGCACCAAATCGCTCTATTTAACAGTCAACACACCTCAGACACACAGCACAGTGGGCGCTTCACACACTGATGCTGCAAATGTGATCTCAGCAAAACGGGCCTCATCACTGCGACCTCCTGCCTGCTACGATGGTCATTTCTAGTTATCAAATAGCTTGTTATAATGATAATCCTTACATTTGATATAGTACCTTACAACAACAACAAAATTACATTTTAAAGCGCCTTTCACATCGGGAGGACGTCCCAAGGCGCTGGACAAACAGAGTTATGGACCTGAGCTGGTGGTCGGGGTGGGGGAGGGTAGAGGGCGGGGGGAGAAAGCAAGGAGATTGAAAGCACGGTTGATGAGAAGGGTCTTGAGATGGGTCTTGAAGGTGGCAAGGGAGGGGGAGAGACAGAGGTACTGCGGGATGGAGTTCCAGAGGTGGGGAGAGAGTGGCAGAAGGCCCGACCGCCAATAGTGGGACGAGATAGGCGGGAGACGTGAAGCAGGCCGGAGCCCACTGAGCAGAGAGAGCGAACAGGGTTAGGAAGTCGGAGAGGTTGGGGAGCAGCAAGACCATGGAGGGCTTTGAAGATGAGGACTAGGATCTTGAACTGTATCCTCTGTGTGAATGGAAGCCAGTGGAGTCGGGCGAGGATGGGGCTGATAGGGTCGCGGAGCCTATTGTGGGAGAAGATATGGGTTGCATAGTTCTGGGTGATCTGCAGCCTGTGGAGGGAGGAGTTGGGAAGGCCGACAAGCAATGAGTTTGCATAGTCGAGTCTCGATGTAATGAAGGCATGTATGAGGGTTTCAGCGGCCTGCTGTCGGAGTGTCGGAGCCGGGCAATGTTGCGGAGGTGGGGGAAGGCAGAGCGGGTCATGTCGCAGACGTGGGGTAGAAAGGATAGTTGCAGTTCAAATATGACCCCAAGGTTCTGGACTGGCTTAGCAAGGTGGAGTGTGCAACCATGGATGGTGATGCTGTCAGCGCCTGAGGTGAGGAGGCGCTGACAGGAGCCAATCAGGAGAGCCTCGATCTTGTTGATGTTCAACTGAAGAAGGTTCGCTCTCATCCAGGACTTGATGTCTGACAGACATTCTGTCAGCACAACAGTGGTCCTGGAGTGAAGGGTGGAGGCAGAGAGGTAGAGTTGGGTGTCATCCGCACACATGTGGAAGTTGACCCCATGTCTGTGGATGATGTCATCAAGAGGGAACATATAGATGTTGAAGAGGAGGGACCAAGGACAGAGCCCTGAGGAACACCGCACGAGACTGAAGAGAAGCCGTTTGAGGAGATGAAGTGCAGGTTGTGTGAGAGGTACAATCTGAGCCAATCAAGGACAGCGCCGTGGAGATTGAGGTGAGAGGAGAGGCGGTGGATGATGATAGAGACAGTGTCAAAGGTCACAGAGAGGACGAGGAGGCAGAGGGAGCCCTGGTCACAGATGGACAGAATGTCATTTGTCACTTTAACCAGGGCTGTTTCTGTCCTGTGGGCGGCACGGAAACCCGATTGGAGGTGTTCGAGAAGGGAGTGGCGGGAGAGGAAGGAGCAAAGTTGAGAAGCAACAACTTGTTCCAGATCCTTGGAGAGGAAAGGGAGGTTGGAGATGGGGCAGTAGTTAGGGAGTAGAGAAGGGTCCAGGGAGCGTTTTTTAAGGATAGAAGTGATGACAGCGGTTTTTAATAGGGTGGGAACAGCACCAGAGGATAGGGAGAGGTTTACGGTGTCAGTGAGTAAAGGGGCAAGGAGGTGGAGCTGGGAGGTAAGCAGAGGGGGTAGGGATGGGTTCGAGGGAGCAGGTGGTAGGTTTCATACGGGTTATAGTGGTGATGAGAGAGGAGGGGGAGGCAGGTTCAAAGACGTCTTTGAGGCGTCTCAAAGCACTTCACAGAAAGTGTAGTGACTGTGTAGTTTGTGGGCAGTTATGAACCCTGACAGGTTACTGTGAAGTGTTGGTACCTAATTCCAGGTGAACGAGCTTTTAGCTAATCTGTGCCAGCAACGTGGTGCACACAGCAAGCAGGTGAATGACAGAATAGCTTTTAAGTGATGGGGATTTATTGGAGGGAATCTTGGGGCGTGTGGAGGCAGCGACAATGAGAAACAACCAACTCTGGGAGTTTGGAAGAGAATTTTGGTATGAAATCACAATCACCTTTTCTCCGTTTCGCATTTCTCGTCAAACTCCAGCTGGAAGAACGTTGCCCCCGGGCAGACAAAGACCGTCGTCTCGTGGCTGTTGTTCTCATAGTTGTGTGCCGACTCCATGGTCCACATCCGGAGGAAGACCGGCTCCTCAGACTTTTCCAGGTTCTCTCCGTCCATCTGCACATCGAAGTCAACACGTCACCACGAGTTTCACACTCACTGCACTAACTGCTGGGATCTGCCAGGCCAGACATGCTGGGCTAATGAGTAACGCCTTTAATATTGATCACACGGATGTTCTGTGGGAATGTGGGAGCCGGCCATCGACCTCCAGATCGCAGTTTAACCGCTGGTTAGCGGGCGATAACTTTTTAAACTAAGTAAAATCTCAGAGCCGCCAGCATCAATCAGCTAACCGAATACTATGATCCATTCGACCAATAAACCCGGCTTCACCATTTGGCAAATGGGGTCAGGGACAGTCAGTGTGATCAATACCTAACGTGCTGTTAAAATGACTCGCACTGACACACCCGCGAGAATCATCAAACGCATTCCTGAGACATGCTACTTGCAGTACCTTGATAAAGCTATCGCCGGTCTCGCTGCACAGGCTCTTCAATGTTTTAGCCAGTGGAGCAAAGGTTTGTAAGAGGGTGCAATGTGGGATGTTCAGGTTTGAAAGTTCCAAAAGGAAGATCACCTAAAACAAAATAATTTCAAAGAAGACTTGAATACTGAACCACAAAGATCTCAATAATAAAAAATATAATCCTTGCAAATGATAGAGAGCCTTATCAGGTCTTCGAGACGTTTCAAAACGCTTTACAGAATACACTGTGAAGTGAATTGATTATGTATTTTGTGGGCGAAACGCAGCAACTAATTGACTACAGTAGTGTCCCACAAATAGTCGTGGATTGAGTGACCAATTTATTGTTATTTTTTTTGAGGGATTATTACCCCCAGAAAAGCGATACGCTGATCGACTAACAACTGGGTTCCTACTGACTGCTAGGGAAACAAGAGGCGTGTGGGGTAAGGAAACTTGTCTAACGTTTCGCCCTGACTGGGAATTGAACCCAGGTCCTCTCGTTTGCGGGGCAAGTGCTCTAACCACTGAGCTACAGGAATCCACATGTATCTCCATTGAGAAGATTTCACATTGCACATTAGAAAACACAGAATCTAAGAGACCCTGAAATTGACACAAGACATGATGGAGTATACCCAAGTCTATTTAAGATGAAGATGGAAGCGGAGGGGAGGAAAGAGTGGTTAAAACTGTGTTTCAGATCAGAGCAAATGTCCCAGTTTCAGAGAGAAGAATTTTTCAAGAGCATTTAATGAGAGCAAGGCAGATCTTCTCAAAGCGAACTTGGATTTGGCCCCAACCAACAAATTAATTAGAATGCTTTGATGAGGAGTTGGGTAATGCGATTGCGTTATATCTGGATTCCAAGGTAGCTGATAAGAGATCTCACAGGAGACTTACGGCTAAATTGGGATAAAGGAAGGTACGGATAAAACAATGATAATTTCATGAAATAATAAAAATGGAAGTGTAAGGTAATTGGAAACCTGGGGGTGAATCCCCTCAGGTTCAGGCCTGGGACTTAAGCTTCTCACACTATTAATATCTCCATCAAGATTTCTTTATAAAAAAACTAAATAAAGGTTTTAAGTTTAACGAGGATCCTAAGGTGGGTGAGACAGAAAAATTCAGATGAATGAATCGTGAGAGATTGACAGACTTAAAAAAGCAGATGAATTAGCACAGTTTCATTCGGGGATAATCAAGTCCAGGCACATTGGTGAGAGTCGAGGTGAATAGTTTCCCAAACACACGTATTTATAGAGCACGGCGGCTGTTGGGAAGATGAGTCATGTTGTGGTAATATTTGTACAAGCTTTCAGAATGGTTGTAACTTGTACAAGTGCATCACAGCAATTAATGTCATGTGTTAGTCACTAACACAAGATCTTACAAACAGCCACAAAGTCAATGACTAATTTGTTTGCGGGGTTGTTGACCAGGACAACAGACAAAATTCCCTTCTATCCTTTGGGATCCTTAATATCCCAATCCCAAGGTCTTTCCAGCCCTGTCAAAACAGGCTGACCTCGCTTGTTTGATGAAAGATGGCACACAGATTTAAAATAATTAAGAATTTTTTTTAAGTGTTTTTTTTTTAGAGTTGTTAAGGTCTGGAATGCACTGCCTGAAAATGTGGTAGAAACAGATTCAATAACATCTTTCAAGGAAAAACGGATAGGTACTTGAAAAGACAACATTTCCAGGGGTATGGGAATAGAGCGGGGGAGTGGGACTGATTGGGTAGCTCTTCCAAAGAGCCATCACGGGCATGATGGGCTGAATGGCCTCCTTCTGTGCTGTAATATTCTATGATTCTATGAAAGATGGCACCTCTGACAATGCAGTGCTCCCCCTGTATTGCACTGGGTCACGCACGGAGGTTTGTGTTTTGTGGGTGAACGAGCCAAACGCAAGGGTGTTTTTTTTTTGTAGGACGAACTGGGTTCCGCAGATCACGTACCAGTTGTCTTGTTGCCATGGCGAGGAAAGAGTCATTCAGGCTCGCCATGATGTTGCTCCCGCTGCATTTCATCATCAGGAAATCCAGGACACTGGACGCACTGCGGATATGACGTTTGACATCTGTTGAGCAACATTGTGGTCATTAAACTTCAGTGAATCAATCTCAACAGCCACACAGAGGTCACAAACAGTAAAATAACAGGGTCCTCTTTGGAAAGCAACCGTCCAGGATAACGCAAATAGTCATCTCCACCACTAACAGACTATGACAGCCAATGCTGAAATGTGTTAACATTCACATCCATGACAAGTTTAAACATTACAGGCGGGCTGTGATGTGATGTGCCCCACTTTCTGTACAGCTCAAAATCAAAACCATTTATCACAGGTTTAAAGAACAATGGGCTTTTACAGCGCAGAAGGTAGACATTTGGTTCATCGTGTCTGTGATATCTAATCTCTGACTCAATTATTGAATGATGGGTATCAAGCTGACCTGTTTATTACTGGCTACCAACAAAGAGCAGTCAATCCGTGCTCAGCCAGTGAATTAGGCATATTTACTTGAACAGGGAGCAAACTATTTAAATGAGGCTTTGAGAATTTAATCCAAGACGTGCTTCAAAATCAGTTTCATCACTCAGACTTTTCTCAATCTCTTACTTACTGGATTTTGTTTCATCTTAAAAAACAAAATCTGGAAATGTTTGCTATTTAGAACGTTAGAAGTTAGAAAATGGCCGTTAGGAAATGTAGTCATCAGGGACCCACTTGACTTGAACACAAATGTGGTTTGACTGAATCTCGGTATAAAGCAAGCTGGCTATCAGAGTAGAAACGTGTTCCTTGCAGTCTCTGGAGTCAGATGGAACAATTGGAAGGAATAGTCAATATTTTGGAAATAAGGAACAATAAGTGAGTGGAAATTGATTGCTCAAAGTTCATCCATCGACTCAACAGCGAGCTCATTAAATCTACGCTAAATTGGAAGCTAAAGAACAAACAGCTTGTGTCAACCATGTGGCACAGAGTAATCTCAGGACAAGGATTTCCATTGTGTATATCTAATACCAGTTTGTTACCTCATTGTGAATCTCTCCCTTTTTCCCATACTAATTTCGATCCAAACACAGTTAACGGGTACAGAATATTTGTTACTCAATTGTGGCTTTTGCTCTTGGGTTAAGTGGGGAGTAAATCAGGAATAGAATGTAGTTACGTACAGTTCAGGAGGATTTCCCGGGCCAGACGGTGACACGAAACGTCATTCCCTTTGAGCTGCAGATAGCACCAGGAGAGGAGGTGTCCCTGCAAAGCCCACAGTAGATTGACGAGAACAGCTTCATTCTTCCCGAACGAACTGTCCACCACCATCAGCTCGCACTGTGGAAAGCACAGGGGCGAAACATGTGTCAGCGGCAACAGCAGAGAGGGCGACAAGCAAAGGTATCAGATATTGCCGTCACTCAAGAACTGACTTACAAACGTTGGCAGTTCATTAGGAATTGCTAAAAACCTTCTGACTACCAATTTCAACCCATATCATTTTGCCTGGGATCTCGAGGCTTGAGAGAACAATCACTGACATACAAATGCTCTCAGTAATTTTCACAACACAAAGTCACCTTTACAGGGTGGATGGGGAGGCAGGTTTGAATGAAGGCCCTTTCAATCTCATCCGCCCAGAATGACCATGTCCCTGCTTTCCCCTTTGAGAAGTCTCTGTTCAAAGTTGAGGAGCCCCAGTTGATCTTGCTGTTCCACAGAGTAAATCCCCCAGAAGAACAGGACAGAACAGCTGCCTATTACTTGAGCAGATTATATCAAAACCCTACAATCTCTGGATAGCATTCAGGCCTACTCAGTTGATTATCAAGGCTGGCAAACCAAGGCAAAGTAATGATCAATTGCAAGTCTTCGTCAAACTTGGGGAATTCTCTCTGCTAAAGCCTGCCCAGCCCTCGAGTCCCAGCCTGTAACACGTCAAATTGCTACCTGCAACGAGAGAGCAGTTCTCTCCTCCTTGTCCCTCCTTCCCCATCTTCAGGTCGCATCTAAAGACCTTCCTCTTCAACCATGTCTACAGTTACCTCCCCCTACCCCCGGCTCGGAATTGTGCTCCACCACTGTCAAGCGCTCTGGGACGCTACCCTGCATGAGGGGCACTGCGTAAATGCAAGTTGTTGTTGTTGAAGTCAATGAATGAAACAACTTCTGTCTAAAGTGAAATTCTCTGGACACAGTAAGGTATAGGCACAGAACGGCACAGGGTAAATTCACTTTATAATAATAATAATCCTTGCATTTGATATAGCGCTTTTCACGTCGGGAGGACATCCCAAAGCGCTTCACAGAACACACCGTAAAGTGAATTGACTGTATATTTGTGGGCGAACGCGGCAGCCAATTGCGCACAGCGATGTCCCTCAAACAGTCGTAGATTGAAAATGACCAATTTTATTATTGTTTTTGGTTTTGGAGGGATTATTATTAGGCTCTGTGTGGAGTAAGGAAACTTGCCCAAGGCTTCGCCCTGACCTGCCGGGGATTGAACTCAGGCCTCTCACTTGCAAAGCGGGTGCTCTAACCACTGAGCTACAGGACTCCACTTTCTAGGTGTTTTGTGTGTGTGTGTGAGTAGATGACACAAAGTTTCTGCATGTACAGTATGATAGTTATTATTGTGACCTGAAGGTAAAACTAAACCAAACTGAGAAAAAGAAACATTGTGGGCGTCCTAGTTTAATTTCAGTTTCAGAACTTACTCTGAAACCAGATAACAAACTTTCGCTTCACATATTGAACCAACCAAAGCCTGTTTCGGGTTGGAATGGCACACCTTCACTTTAGTATCTCACCAGACTAGTTTGTCAGAATGTTTAGCCAAATTAATTTCAGAGAAAAGGCGTCAACTTACGAGAAACCATCTTATGCATGAGTCACTTCAGATCCACTTATTTAAGTAGCTGAGAGAACCTGCGCTGAACAGCAACGGGCAAGGTTACACAACACAAAGTGGGACGATGCCTAGCTCCACTGAACTGCACGGCTGGAAATATCTCCTCAATGAATGCAGTCAAAATGATTTGAAGAAGCTTTGTCTAAGTTTTGACAAAGTCACTGACTGGTCATGTAAAGAGAAAGGCGCACTTGTAAGGAAGGTTGTAGAGAACACCGTCTCCTCAAGGCAACTCTTGCACTACAGATGCATAAGGAAGGTGAGGTTGCTGTGCTACCTGGAGGGAAAAGGTAAGAGGGTTGGTCAAGCGAAAACAAAAAAGTACCTTGCTGATCGCATAGAAAAACTGTGGAAAACAGAAGATCGCATTCAGATACCTCGAATTGATAACAACGAGCAAGATGAATGCAGGAAAATACTGCGAGCTCTTCCTCGAGACTTGATGCAGAAATTATGCAAGAAATTGGACATTGCAAGAGAACCGGACGCGACCAAGAAAGACGCTACACTATCGCGGATTCCAAATGTCATGTGGCTTCTAACAAAGAGATGTGTGACCACAGAAGTTTTAACAAAGTATCTGAGCAAGGCAAATAGGACGTCTCAAATGCTGCCGAGGAGAAAGGAGGAACTAATTAAAAAAGTAATCGCTAATATCAGAGCGGTCCAGAGTGGCCGCGGACGGCATCCAGCCCAGCAGATCCCCCCACCATTCCGGATTGCATCTGTCCCACAACCATTTCAAATGTTCCCTCCCTCCGTGCCGAATGTCCCCCAAGGGGGAGAGAGGCGTGGAGGTGAGAGAGATGGGGGGAGAGAGAGGTGGGGGAGAGAGAGAGGGAGGGAAGAGAGGGAGTGGGGGAGAGAGGGGAGGGGCAGGAGTCCAAATGGGCCTGCAGATGATTTTATTCATCCCACATCCAGAGGGGAGGCTGGTGCGAGGGGGGAGGGTAGAGCGAGGGGGGAGGGTAGAGCGAGGGGGGAGGGTAGTGCGAGGGGGAGGGTAGTGCGAGGGGGGAGGGTAGTGCGAGGGGGAGGGTAGAGCGAGGGGGGAGGGTAGAACGAGGGGGGAGGGTAGAGCGAAGGGGGAGGGTAGAGCGAGGGGGGAGGGTAGAGCGAGGGGGGAGGGTAGAGCGAGGGGGGAGGGTAGAGCGAGGGGGGAGGCTAGAGCGAGGGGGGAGGCTAGAGCGAGGGGGGAGGGTAGTGCGAGGGGGAGGGTAGTGCGAGGGGGGAGGGTAGAGCGAGGGGGAGGGTAGAGCGAGGGGGGAGGGTAGAGCGAGGGGGAAGGTAGAGCGAGGGGGGAGGGTAGAGCGAGGGGGAGGGTAGAGCGAGGGGGGAGGGTAGAGCGAGGGGGGGGTAGTGCGAGGGGGGAGGGTAGAGCGAGGGGGAGGGTAGAGCGAGGGGGGAGGGTAGTGCGAGGCGGGAGGGTAGAGCGAGGGGGGAGGGTAGTGCGAGGCGGGAGGGTAGAGCAAGGGGGAGGGTAGAGCGAGGGGGGAGGGTAGAGCGAGGGGGGAGGGTAGAGCGAGGGGGAGGGTAGTGCGAGGGGGGAGGGTAGTGCGAGGGGGGAGGGTAGTGCGAGGGGGGAGGGTAGTGCGAGGGGGGAGGGTAGAGCGAGGGGGAGGGTAGTGCGAGGGGGAGGGTAGAGCGAGGGGGGAGGGTAGAGCGAGGGGGGAGGGTAGAGCAAGGGGGGGTGGGGAAAGTGGAGGGAGAGGGAGGTTAGAGGAAGAGAGAGAGAGCAAAAGAAACACGTTTGTCTTCCTGGCGGACTGCATTATTTCCAATTTCTGTGCGGCTTCCTCCCAACCGCCGGCTGCTGCCCCAGGAGGGAGTTCACCAGAGAGGGAGTGGAAGTATGGTTCTCGTGCCGCACAGCCCACTGGCCGTTAGCTGTCCCACACTGGATGCGGCGGCCCGTGGACCTTTCTGTAATAGGGAATCCAGCCCACAGCAGCCAAAAGGTTGGACCCCCCCCTGGCTTATATCAACAAGCAACGTCCACAACAAGCCCAGGTCTGTTCATCCCTCCAACCAAGAGGCACAACAAGTCCAGCTCAGGTCTGGACACAGGCGGAGTTGAAAAGTGAGCCAAGGGTAAGCTTTAACGTAAACTGGCCAGGGCGGGGCGCGGGGATGGGGAGAGAGAAAGAGGGGAATTGAGGTCCGTAAAATGTAGTGAGTGACTGTGTGTTAGTAGGCCAATCCACCAGCCAATTCATCCCACAAACAACCATGTGCCACAAACATTCAGGAAGCGAGCAACCAACTTTATTTGGGGGATTTTTGGTCACTGGGGGGAGAGAGAGAGAGAGAGAGAGAAACTCCCTTCACTTTTCCAGAAGTGCCACAGGATCCTTAACATTCTCAGGGTGTTATATCTCACAACTGAATTACTCAACAACTTTATTTTTTCCTCTGGCAGATTGTAAAACAAAGAAAAACAGGAATAACAACGACTGATGTGTAGCCTCCTTCATGCAGTCAGCGCCTTGGAATGCTGAACAAAGGTAAAGCAAGTGGTGAACGAGCACACTGAGTGAAGAGCACAAGCGAACGAAGATTCAGAGCTGAGCACGGGCAGATGCGAGGCAGTGCCACTCTGCTCCTGTACTTCCCCTGACATTCACCCATCAGAGTAACAAGAATCGAGGAGGACTGACTGACTTGACTGAGATGTGTTTGAAATGCTGTGTCAGGCAGCTTACACCGACCGCGCAGCACCTTAAAGACTATGAATAACCAGCAAATAGGATCAGTGATGTGAATCCCGTACTTTCGTCACTCTGTGCGTTCCTCGGGTTCATGTCTTCCGGGGCTAACAATCCATTTTTAGCAATCTGACAAGCTCCCGAATGAATGAAAAATGCTACATTAATTCTCAAGAGATTGGAAAAAAAAACCCTCTTAACTTATTCTTTCCAGTCACCAAATTGAGCATCGCTCAACGCCATCACCACACTTCCACCGGGCGTGATAAACACATTTGCTCGTTTCCTGCCATGGGATAAACTGAGAGCTGTTCACTTTGCACTGTTACTGGAGCTGAGCTGAATATGGGGCTGCGGAACAATTAGTTTAAATGGTAACTGGATACCATTTGTAGATAAAGCTAGGAGATCGGTACCGTTTCCTTTACTTATCGCTCGTGGATTTATCAGCAATCTGTGTAACTTGTTTGTTGATTATTTCTAATAAAACATAAAAATGAATTCTCTTTGGGCAATTTTTGTTGATGATAAACTCATTCCCGAAAACAACCACCACCACAACTTGCACTTATATAGTACCCTCCACGCCAGGGTAGCATCCCAGAGCACTTAACAGTGGCGGAGCCTGACTCCGAGTCGGGGGGAGTGGAGAGGTGGCCATAAGCACAATCGAAGAGGAAAGTTTTCAGGCGGGACCGTCAAAGTGGAGAGAGGGGGGGCAAGGTGGAGGGATTGAGAGAGAGTGTTCCAGAGTTTTGGGCTGCAGTGGCTGAAAGTACGACCTCCGATGGTGGGGCGGAGGGTGCGAGGGACGAGCAGGAGGCTGGTGCCAGTCAAGCGGAGAACTCTGCAGCCCGTATCCTCTCCCGTCCTAGGCTCTGCAACCCTATCACCCCCATCCTCGCCCAACTCCACTGGCTTCCCATCACACAGAGGATACAGTTCAAGATCCTGGTCCTTACCACCAAAGCCCTACGACCGTTTGCTCCCTCCGCTCAGCGGACTCCAGACTGCTTCATGTCCCCCACCTTGCTCGCCCCACTAATGGTGGGCGGGCTTTCCGCCACTCTGCACCCACCTTCTGGAACTCCACCCCGCACTCCCTCCATCTCGCCCCCTCCCTCGCCATCTTCAAGACCCACCTCAAGATCCTCCTCTTCGACTGTGTTTTCGATCTCCCTGCTTCCCCCCACCTGCCCTGTACCCTACCCCACCTCATGTCAATAACTCTTGTCTGTCTAGCGGCTTGGGACGTCCTCCCGACGTGAAAGGCGCTTTACAAATGTAATTTTGTTGGGTTTCAAGAAGGAAGTTGACAGATATACGAAAATTAGTCCTGTTTTGGAGTCCTGTAGCTCAGTGGTTAGAGCACTCGCTTTGCAAGTGAGAGACCTGAGTTCAATTCCAAGCAGAGGGCGAAACCTTGGCAAGTTTCCTTACTCCACACAGAGCCTAATAATAATCCCTCCAAAACCAAAAACAATAATAAATTGGTCATTTTCAATCCACGACTGTTTGTGGGACATTGCTGTGCGCAATTGGCTGCCGCGTTCACCCACAAATATACAGTCAATTCACTTTACAGTGTGTTCTGTGAAGCGCTTTAGGACGTCCTCCCGACGTGAAAAGCGCTATATCAAATGCAAGGATTATTATTATTATTATTAAAATTAGAGGCTTGGAAAGGAGATGCAGATGGGAAAGGATTTATATAGCGGCCCTCACACAGAGCGCCTGGGGGAGGAAGGTGGGGTGGGGGAGGGGAATTGAATGGGATAGTTTGCTCCAAGAACCGGGACAGACTCAATGGGGCCGAATGGCCTCCTCCTGCTCTGTACGTCTTTTCTATGATTCAGTATCTTATTAGTTTGTTGCCAGATGGTGTTACCATGGGGTGAAAGGATGAAACTAACGGACAATATAAATCTGGCAAGATATCGTGGAAAAATCTCTGTGAGGATTGTTCGATCCAAAGCCCATAAAAAAGGAGACTCGGGAACCATGTAGAAATCGGACTGCGACAAAATTTTTTAAACAAATATATAGCTGAACCATCTTCGTCAGCCTTTGGTCCCCTCCCCCCGGCTCGGCTTCATACTCCGCCCCTGTCAAGCGCTCTGGGACCCTACTCTGCGCGAGGGACGCTGTGTGTTATTGTTGTAGCTCCCTTAATTCAAAGCACCGTGAAAGGTCAATTAACCAGACAGCAGCCGAGAGACAAACATCCCGGTGTGGGCACCTGCCTTCCCGCCTGTCCCGCAGCATCCCATCGGGATCAGGAGCTCCAGAGCGGGAATGTTGGCGGCCTGCGAGTGGGTTGCTGACACGTGCCCTCTCCTCTCAAAGCACAGTGAACGATTTTCGCACCGGATCAAACGCTTTCTCCTGTACTTTCTCTGTTCAGCGACTTGGGACGTCCTCCGACGTGAAAGGCGCTGTACAAATGTAATTTGCTGCTGCTGTTGTTCACACAGGTCCCCACACGTCACCGTGCTGCCCTGTACCACATGCCCTTGTGCTTGCCACACACTGCCTAGCATGAGGGCATGAGGAAGTGGCAACGAGCACGTGACTGGGATTCAAATCAGGCTGTTCAACCCCCCCCCACCGCTCCCATGTTAATTTGAATCTATTTAAATCAGGTTATTTTGGAAGATGAGATTTAAATACCTGCAGATGTTCCTGTGCAATATGAAGAGTTTGAATTAGGAAAACCTGTAAATTCAGGAAACAAAAAATGAAGAGCTGTAACCGGATGGCCTGGCTTGGGGAGCCGGAGCTATTCCGGGGGGAGATTAGCAGACTTGCTTATGAAGGACAGAGGGGGACTGGTACACGGAAAGTTTCACTGGCGTAAAGCAGGTCGAGCCTTCAGTCACTACACTCTCTACACTAACCTCTGGACTTCCCTCCCACAATCCCCTCCTCCTCAACCCCTCTTTAACTCGCACATTAAGACCTATCTCCCTCCGCACTGATCGCTCGGTATCTAACCCCATCACTGTGCCTTGCTCCCGAGACCCCGGCCTGCGTGTGGGGCGCCATATAAATGCAAGTTGCAGATGTTACTGTACTTTAAAACCCCAGAGTTTGAACACTTGTGACCTGACACTTGCTGTCCATCAACACAATGATGGTCACAGCTAATACAGCGCTCTGAACAAGCACAGCCAAGAGCACGTGACTTGCCCAAGTCGATCTCCTCAGCCAGGGGAGCACACACACTCCTCCCTTTACTTGTCCTCAACCAGACAGGCACTCAGCATCGCTAACCTCATGGTAAACACCGGCTAAAACATCACTGATAAATGATCTCACCGTACAGCCCACACGGCCCACACCCAGCAAACCCGATTTAACAATAACAATAATCCTTGCAGTTGATATAGCGCTTTATCACGCCATTGAGACGTCTCAAAGGTCTTCACAGAATATACCATAAAGTGTAGCGACTGTGTATTTTGTGGGTGAAACGCGGCAGCGTCCCCACAAACAGTTGTGGATTCTGTGACCAAATATATATATTTTTTGGAGGAATTATTACCCCTGGAAAACAATCCGCCAATCAACTAACAACCGGATTCCTACTTACTGCTGGGCAAACAGAGGCGTGCGTGTGGAGTCGGGAAACTTGCCTAAGGTTTTGCCCTGCCCGGGAATCGAACTCGGGTCCTCTCGCTTGCGAGGCAAGTGCTCTAACCACTATGCTACAGGACACCCTATTTCTCCCTCTTTGGCTTGCCGCCTGCTCTTACCTCCCGAGTGGCCACTAAGAGCAGTGTGTCCATGACCATCATCACGGGGCTGATGTCGAAGTGGGCGGCCACGCCCTCCTGTGGCAGCTGAAGCAGGCCGCTGGGGTCCCGATTGCTGCACAAGAGGAGAAGGCGAGTTATTGCGCTGTGACCACTTGCTACCTCTCTCTCTCTCTCTCTCTGCACAGCAACGAGGAAATAGAGAATGATAATCCTCACTTTTGATACGGTGCCTTTCACGTCAGGAGGATGTCTCTCAGCGCTTCACGGTATTTATAATAAATAATAATCCTCGCATTTGACATAGCGCCTTATCACGTCTCAAAGCACTTCACAGAATATAATGGTAAATTGGGCAAAACGAGGCAGCCAAATTACGCACGCTCTAACCAACAAGCTATGGAACTCGACGCTGATTTGACTTGTAAGCGCACAGCAACGTCCCTGCCACAGCCATGAGGTGAGCACCCAATTTTAATGGAGGAGTGGATGGGGTGAAGTGGAACCATAGCCTAGGAAATCAGAGAAATTCCCTTACTCTTCAAATAGCGCTACGGGATTTTTAACGTCCGCCTGAACAGGGCACAGACTAGGTTTAATGGCTCGTCCGAAAGGACAGCACCTCCGACAATACAGCCCAGCCCCAACCTGCTCTGTCCTGCAGCACCAGCTGAGATGGGACGAGCTGGCAGTGAGGTGTCGCTAATTCCCCGGGGAGTCGATCGGAGGCTCAATTAGTGAATCCCATTGCCAGTCTCCACCAGTTTGACCCCATTCCATTCACCCCCACCCCCCCCACCCGCATCTCCGGTGTCCCGCCAGTGACTGACCTGAAGTAGTGGCACAGGGACTGGAAGGTGATGATGGTAGACTGAGGCTGAGAAGGCTCCGTGATCGTTTTCTGCCACAGCAAGAATACAAAGATCTGAATCAGACGCGGCGAGCTCTGGCCCTCCCACATACGCCATGCCGGGGGTGGGGGTGGGGGGGAGGAGAGCGTGACGTGGGGGGGAAATACATGGGTGGGGGGAGGGACACCACCCACCGGCTGACACAATTTCCACTTTAGTGAAAGGCACACTTGACCCGTATTGCAACCCTTCAATATTTTTAGGTATTCCAAGATGTTACCCCACAAAGTACACTAAACATATCCACCCACACACCAACACCCACCCATCTACACCCCCCCGCCCCCCCCCATCCACACACAGACGTTGTTGCTGTTGTTTTGTTGGCTGCAGTACAGATGTCTCAATCTGTCGCACAGCTCTACATAGTTTGTAGCATCAATATTGTCACTCCAATGGCACAAATGATCTGAAAATCTGCTGAGCAACACACTTCCCTCCCCGCCACCCCTGATCACATACACTCCATCTTTACCATCATTTTAAACAGCTGGTTGCGTCGTGTCTGCACATCTGGGAAAAAGATGGCGGCTCCACTCAGGACAGTGTTGATGGCTTCCTTCTTCAGCATCGCCCCAGGGACCGTGTCATACTCCTCCACATCCACCACTGCACGGGAGGCACTGGTTAGTATCGCGGCAGAAGCCAAGGCCACATTACACCACATTAGTTCAGAGAGACTGGGCATTATCCTACCAGCTCACAAGACAAGAGCACCACATTCGCACCTCCTCTCTAAACCCATTCCCTGCTCTCTCACCATTGTGTCAGTGCTGGGGCTCGCTCCCCCACTGGAGCTCTCTACTCTAACCCCATTCCCTGCTCTCTCTCTCTCTCTCCCCATCGTGTCTGTGCTGGGACTCGCTCCCCCACTGGAGCTCTGTACTCTAACCCCATTCCCTGCTCTCTCTCTCTCCCCATCGTGTCTGTGCTGGGACTCGCTCCCCCAGTGGAGCTCTCTACTCTAACCCCATTGCCTCTTCTCTGTTTCCCCATCGTGTCTATGCTGATGCTCGCTCTCCCACTGGAGCTCCCTACTCTAACCCCATTCCCTGCTCTCTCTCTCTCTCTCCCTGACCCCAAGCCGCTCATTACCGTTACAGAGGTAGGTGTACAGGTCCTGTGTGGATTGGGTGTCAATGGGCTGCTGCTTCGTCCCCGCTGTTTTGCCAGGTGGTTGAGAGCCAGAGAGTAAGGCCAGGCAGTTCTGCAGCAGCTGCAGCAAGATGGTCTGTGCCATGAGGCTCTGTGACTCGTGGCTGCTGGGGAGGGGAAAGATCCGGTTACCATTTGCCGGGGTAAGGAGCCGGGAGAGAAATCAAGAGCGCACGCACGGACGGCTCTTACTTTTCTCTGAACTTTTTGTAGAAGTCCCAGAAGAGCTTGAGACTCAGGTCTGAGAAGTCCAGATATGGTCTCTGCTTCGACTTGCGCTCTTTCAATTCTGCCTGCAGGTCAAGAGAGAGCACAGAGCTAGTCAGTCCCACCGAGAAACATCGGCACCGCTGACTATCATTGATAACGCAGCGGTAGGGCGGCGGTTCTGGTTTATGTTTATGAAAAAAAAGTCTTGACAGTCTGCGCTTCCAGGTTGCCGCTGACGCCAAATCCTGCGACATCACTTCCTGTGCGCTGCATACACGCTGGAAGCCAGTTAGTCGCTGCCGGAAGCGGGTATGTACTGCACATTAGGTACTCGCGGTGGAGCAGCACCTTAGAATCATAGAATCATACAATGTTACGGCACAGAAGGAGGCCATTCGGCCCATCGAGTCTGTGCGGCTCTTTGACAGAACGTCACTTTCACTGACCCCAATCACCAGCTTTCTCCCCATAACCCCACAAATCCGTCTTCCCCAGATACCTATCCAGTTCTCTCTTAAAAGCTGTTATTGAATCGGACTTCACTGCCCTTTCAGCAGATCATTCCAAATTCGAACAACTCGCTGAGTGAAAACATTTCTTCTAACCTCCCCTCTGCTTCTTTTGGTAAATATCTTAAGACTGTGACCACGGGTCACAGACACACCTACCAGTGGAAACAGCTTTTCCTTATCTCACCTGTCGAAACCTTTCATGATCTTGAAGACCTCTTTCAGGTCCCCGCGTAACCTTCGCTGCTCTAATGGGAAAAGTCCTAACTTCTCCACTGTCCTCATAGCTAAGGTTCCCCATTACTGGTATCATTCTCGTGAATCTCATAACCTTATAACCGAGTTGACCTGTACATCTAATATAACGTTTCTCCCAGTGTTCTGGCCGCCAACACTCCCCCTCACTCCCCCCCCCCCCATAAACCCGTCAGTTCGCCTCATGGCCGTTTGCGGGACATCGCGGTGTGCGAATTGGCTTCTGCATTTGTCAATAAAATATGCAGTCACCACAGTACAGTATATGCTGTGAAGCGCTTTAAGATGTGCTGAAGTTCTGTCTCAAAGGCAAACCTCTTCACTGGCCAATGCAAACAGCTGCAGCCTCCCCTTGTGGCGGAAAATAGGTACTTCCGTATTCCCTATTTCTCCTGCCAGTCCCATCCCATCCCGGGACAAACCCAAACTTTTTCTCAGCCGGAACACATCAGTGTCCCTGGCCTAGAAAGAGATTTCTGCTCTCCTCTTGCCATGCGATAAGAGGGAGGTGTTTTTTTTTTTGCCTCCTGGATATCAACAATAACTTGCATTTACATAGCGCCCTTCACGTGGGGTAGTGTTCTGGAGCGCGTCAGATATCCTGAGCCAATAATAAATAACTAGTCCAAATGCACCCCCCCCCCCCAAATAATTCCTACTGATTGGCTTCTCATCCCGTTGCCTGCAGGGCGTTGCTGCTGTATATAAGCCATCTTGTTTGCCAGCGTGACAACGTTCACTTCATTTATAATTAATCTCACTCATAAAAAGCAGGTCGAGACAACAACAAATGACATTTACACAGCGCCTTTCATGTTGGGAGGACGTCCCAAAGCGCTAGACAGTTAGGGATTTGGACCCGAGCTGGGGGTTGGGAGGGGTGGAGGGCAGGGAGGGTGGGGGTAGGTGTGTGACCGAAGGAGCAGGCCAAGAGGAGGGTCTTGAGACAGGCCTTGAAGGAGGAAAGGGAGGGGGCGAGGCGGAGGAGCTGTGGGATGGAGTTCCAAAGGGTGGGAGCAGAGAGGCCAAATGCTCGACCGTCGACAGTGGGAAGAGCCGGGCAGGGGACTTGGAGCAGGCCACAGCCCGCTGAGCGGAGGGAGCGGACGGGCCGATATGGAGTCGTTTGCGACAGGTGAAAGCCGCTGCTGTGTAAACGGGTTCTTGTTGTTGCATCTCACTCCACTGCACACGTACCACGTCCTGCGCCAGCTGCTGGATGAAGTAGAGGGTCTTCAAGAGGAGAGTTTGCCCAGAGACCAGGCCACTGGCCGGTGCCTCGCATAGAGACACAAACTCTTGATTAGCGGGTCTGAGGTAACCACGGACGGTCAGGTGCTTGATGCCAATGCGTGTGTTGCTCTCGTCCTCTTGCCTCGGGCAGAGGAACTTCACCATCAGGAACTGCAGAGACACATCAACGATAGTGTCACATTGCTCACAGCGGAAGCCCACGGCTCCTTCAGACTGCTCCGCACACTTACACACAGGGTCCCCAGCACCATGGTTACCCACCGTACACTCTTATATTGCACACAAGTTATCAACCGTAAAAGATCATCCGCTCCCCTGCTCCATCCTCATCGCATTTGTGCTGGTGCTCGCTCCCCCCACTGGAGCTCTCTACTCGAACTCCATTCCCTGTTCTCCCTCTCTCTTCCCATCGTGTCTGTGCTGGTGTTCGCTCCACCCACTGGAGCTCTCTACTCTAGCCCCATTTCTCGTCATTGTGAAGTGCTTTGAGACGTCTAAGCATGATACATTACTGTATGAAATGTGAGGATTATTACAATTATTATTATATTATTGGAAAGGTGAGTGAAATTGCTGCACTGGGCCTTTTTAATCTAATAATCTTGGGTGAAATGCCTGGTACACAGGGCCACCTGCTGGAACTAATTGGAAAACCCAGTGCGTCACAAACTCTCACCTTGCTAATCCGGCAGGTCTGTAACTTCAACTCAATTTCATTCCAGTCTTCCTCCAGCTCAAACCAACCAATAGGCTCGTCTTCGGAGGGCTCCACGCTGTGGCCGCTGTTCCTGTCACGCAGAGAAACACGGTACCGTTAGATGCCTGGTCTAATAGTAAGAGTGTTCCCCCGTCACCCCAGGACAAATTGTGGCTTCCAGCTCACCTTTCCTTCACAAACTGCCGGAATTCCTGCAGCTTCCACTTGTTGTACTTCTCAAACCTTTGCAAATGTTTCTCCGCATCAAACGTCTCCTCCTTGTCGTTGTAAGCGAAGACGAGACCGCACTTGGCTCCTTTGGCGCCATTGTGTACCTGGGGGGACGGGGAAGGGGGGGTGGGGGAGGTAAAGAGAATCGGCATGAAGGATGTTCAGGGCTATTGCCTTTGAGACGTGACAGTGCACAGCACAAGAGCTCACCTTGACCCTGATCTGTGTCACCTGGATGGCCAACTTGCTTCTCGACGACAGAATGAAGCTGACCCGTGTTTGGCCCGACTCGGACAGAAACCCTGCAACATGGCCAATGAAAATACATCAGCCCGCAGCACCACCCCTCACTCAGTTGAATAGTTAACGTAAAAGAAAAAGACACCATCACATGGCGGCTGCTGTATAAAATAACACAAGACCCTCTGCTTGGCTGCACAACGGTGTGGGGATAAGATAATGGACTGGAACCCAATGAGTTGGACTTCCTTGCTCATCCATGCGAATCGGGAGGGTTAGACACACAATCAACATGCACGTGTATCATTTCCTTTTTGCCCAGCCAGGTGTCTGACACAAGCGGAAACCTGTCATCGTGCTTAAAAGTCTCCAAACCAAACTGAGAATTTCCTGCCTCCCACCTACATGTGGAAATCCCAGGGATAGATTGTTGTAAAGGAATGCGCAATCTCTCTCTCTCTGGAGGGACGTACCCTGCTTACCTAATTCCAGAAAGTATGAGGCCCAGGTTGGAAAGAGCCAAGGCTTAGGGGTCCCCAGAGTGTGCGTTGGGATAACTGCTGGAGTCTAACCAGCTAAAACCGCAGAGCTCATCATCGATAGCGCTGTCCGGCAAGCTTTCCCGCTGCTTGTCCAGCTTGGACCACCCAACCCACAAAGGAGCAGAAGGCCGAGCAAGGTTATCTGAAATCCTGCAGAATTGCGCTGAGTTCCCACTGTTACAGCGGACAATAGTTCAATGCCACTTACCATCTCCAAGCAACGACTCGTACAACACAGCTGAGGGTCCGTATCCCTTCTCCTTTCCCTCCTTCGCGTCGCACGCTTCCACAGTCAGCTGCAGGGTTTTTCCTACAGACCCCGGGGGTGGGGGGGATATCAAAACAAGAAACTGAAAGTTAGTCTAATAGAAAGCTTCGAGACGCAGCCCTGTACTGAATCCAGCGCCAACCTCACTCCTGCCACAAGGCAATCCTAGTCACTTTGTAACCCTTGTGCTTCACACCACCTCATCACATCGGAATGTCTCACCTGACGACCATCAAGCGTAGTGACTGTTTGCCATCGTCATATTGTGCCCAACAAGATGCCACTCACCCCCACAAGGTGAACGAACAACTCACCCGGAGGCCTGATGATCCACACAGTGACATCGTTGGAACCTTTGACGTTTGCATGAAAACTGACAAACTCGGGTGGGTTCAGAACCGAATATAAAACTCCAGCCAACGCCCCCTAACCAGACTCTCGGTGCCCCCGTGCCACCCGGTGTGGCTGCTCACCGTATCTGTGGAGCTGGTTAAGCCTCACGGTCGCCATGGGAGCCAGGAGCGAGGACGCGTCGTACAGTGTGTCCAAGCGGTCGCTGATGGACAGCAGCGAGGTCATCACCTTGGCAATGCTGCCTCTGGCCAAAGCGAAGGCCAGCAGCGTCAGGTCTGCCTGGGGGCCGGCACAGCAGCTGGAGAGTGAGTGGGGGGGACGAAGGAAGGAAGGAGGGGTAAAGAGTGAAGAGTGAAGGTCACCCCTTGGACATCAAAGCCAGCCACCCTGGCCGGCTGGTACCGAGCACAGTAAATCCCGGACACTTCAACACGCACGTCACTGCAGCAATCGCATCACGGGGTAGAGTTTTGGGGTTTAATCTTTTTGTTATCGAGTGTGGCGCTCAGAGCTGGAAATCTGATGATTGAAGAGGCAGGAATATGTGTGTGTATTGCAGAGCGTTCCCCTCCTCCCTCTCCCCACCGATATGGCCTCAATGGAAAAGAACAGAAGCCAGGACCACGGCAATGGACTTGGGAATCATGCCCTTTGGCGGTTGCTGACTGTTTCCTCTGACGGGGGAATCCAGAACAAGGGGCATATTCTTAAAATTAGAGCTAGGCCACTTAGGAGTGAAATTAGGAGGCAGTCTTTCACCCAAATAATTGGACTTGAGGTACAGATTATAGAGTAGCAGAACAGGCTCCAGGGGCTGAATCGCCTTCTCCTGTTTCTGTGTTTCTATTAAAAAGCTCCCCCTCTCACCCCGTCCACCATTGTATTTCAGCGTAAACGGCACCGGCAGGCTCACCTCGCGATCCGGACCAGAAAGACGTCGACTTTCTCCAGGACGTTGGCCGACATGAAGCTCGGCAGGTCCGTGGAGCTGGGCGTGAGAGACAGGGGAGGCATATGGTTCAGTGCTTTCCTGTAATAGAAGGAAACAGGGAGTTGGGGGGAAGCTATTCTTCAGAATGAAATGTTATTAGTTCCCCCCTGCCTCCCAGCTCCGATTGTCATACAGCTCCACTGGAGGCAGTAACAGCCTAGCGAGGATTATATTGTGTGAGTTAGTTATGAGGATTGGAAGGCCTGCTCACTCCCTCCATGACGGCTCACTGGGAAAAGGCAACCACAGTATTCTCCAAAATCAGGCACTAGCCTTTCGGTGATGTTTGAACTGAAATGAGACAGCAGCGGGGTCAGAAAGGCAGATCTTTCGAGAGGCAGACTCTGGGGTAACTATACATTCCCCATGGAATAATATAACCCTTGCATTTGATCCAGCGCCTTTTGCACTGAGAGCACGTCTCAAAGTGCTTTCCAGGATTTCACTGTAAAGTGTAGCGATTATGTGTAGGTGAACACTGCAGCCAATTTGCGCACAGCCACATATTAATAATAATGCTTGCATTTGATATAACGCCTTATCACGTTTGAGACATCTCAAAGCGCTTTATAAAATATACTGTAAAGTCAATTGACTGTATATTTTTGGGGCGAAACACAGCAGCCAATTGCGCACAGCAGTGTCCCACAAACAGTCATGGATTCAGTGATCAAATCATTATTATTATTTTTGAAGGGTTTATTATCCCCGGTCAATTGACTAACAACCAGGTTCCAACTTATTGCTAGGTAAACAGAGGCATGTGGAGTAAGGAAACTTGCCTAAGGTTTTGCCCTGTGGCCACAAACTGCCGTGAACGACTGACCGATTTTATCAGAGGATTTAATGTTGGCTGGGACATCGGGGAGAAAGTCCCTTCTCTTTTTCAAATAGCATCACGGGATTTGGTCACCCAATCCATGACTGCTTGCGGGACACTGCTGTGTGCAAATAGCTGGCGCACTTCACCCAAAAAACACAAGTCATACCACTTTACAGTATATTCTGTGAAGCGCTTTGAGACGTCTCAACGACATGACAAGGCGCTATATCAAATGCGATTATTATTATCATTATCTGTTTAACATCCACCTGAATAGGCACGGACAGCGACCTCAGCTTAAACGTCTCATCCGCAGAACGGGCGCGAGAGAAGTACTAAAAACAGCTGATGACTAAATGGCTTGAAGAACCCCAGTGGCCCAGGCCACACACCCCGCGCTCTAGGCTCGAGGCTGAGAGTGTTACTGACTGTGTGAACTGCAGGACGTCCTGGGCCAGGTCGGGGTTGGTGTCGATGGAGACGGTGACCAGTGTGGTCAGCAGCGACAGGTACCAGATGGCGGAGGCGTCCGACACGGACACCCCCGGCTTCTTCACTACCTGGTGACCCATCGTCTTCAGCCCGTGGATCCTGGTGTCACAGCCGTCCCCGTGGCAACGCTTAATGTTGATCTGTACAACTGGAAACAAAGAGGTCAGTGGGGGAGAGAATGTCAGTGTCCAGTCTGTCCCCCTCCCACCGCACACCCACCACACAGTTTGGTCCTTTCCTTTGGTTTGATGCATCACCCATGTTGCTGCTTCACCCTGTCTGTACTGTAGAAGTGATGGCTAACCTGTTTGATCAGCCGACAAAATACATTTTCTCAGTTGAACATTTCTTGGTTTTTGCCACTTCCGACCCGCGGGCCAATGGATACCCCACTCCCCCACCCCAGCGCCGTGGAACAATCCTGACCCGAGACACCTCGCTCATTGGTTCGCATGTGCGGGTACCATATTTATTATTTATGACTTCAGCGGCTCGGCCAGACAGAGACTAACCTCGTGGCTAAATGCAGGCGTGCAACGCACCACGTGCAAACCACACGCATTTCATGCATAGAACTACATCAAATCTACAGCACAAAAAAAAACACAGGTCGTTCAGCCCATCTAACCTGGGCCAGTGTTACTCCACATGAACCCCTTCCTAGCCTCTGCCGCCTCCGTCCCCCCGTCCCCCCCCCCCACCTCCTCACTTTTCTTGTTATAGACTCTTCAACAATTGGAAACAGTCTATAATAACACGTTTACAGAGAGAGATGGAGAGAGGGAGAGAGAGATGGAGAATTATCCGTCAATCATGTAACTAAGAGCCAACGGGACGAATTGGTTGTGGATTTGATCTGAAATGATTCCTGTTGGTTTACACACGGCACAGAACACACCAAGGCCCTTACCCCAATCACAGACAACAACGACAACTTTCAATTACACAGCGCCCCTCAGGCAGGACAGCGTCTCAAAGCGCCCAGCGTCACAGAGAGTCCGATCTAAATTGTAATTACATGGGTGGCTGGCATTGGCGTTCTCCAGCAGGGTCACGTAACCGGTCATGTTGCTGGGAATCCTGACATCGCGGACCTCCTGGAGATTACTGGGATTCCTCCCCAGGGACACGGTCACCTGCTGGGGCATGTAGCTCTGGTCACTGGCCGCCACCGCTACAGACAAGTGTTTCAGCACCACGTCAGGCTTCAACCGTAGTCTGCAGAGGAGAGGGATCAAATCTCAGCAACGCCCCGTCCGACAAACAGGACGTTTGCTCTTTTCCCCGGGCCCCCGTCCCCCCATGCTGCCTGGCCACCTGCCATGGACCCCTTCCCCCATCAACCCCCTCCACCATCCCCTTCCCCAATCAACTCCCACCCAAACCTTCCCCCACCAACCCCTTCCCCCTTCAATCCCCCTCCCCGCAGCAACTCCCCCATCAACCTATCCCCCACCAACACCCTTCCCCCATCAACCCCTCCCCCACCAAACCTCCTCCCTCATCAAACCCCCTCCCTCGTCAAACCCCCTCCCTCATCAACCACCCCCAACCCCTCCCCAAGACGTCCAACAAGCCCACACCTGATCCAGTGTGAACACGAGCTCCCGTCTGACTGCCAGTAGGAACTGGTCTCTCCGTTGGTCATCTTGTCGATGTCAGTGGAGTTGGAGGAGGCTTCGATGCTGGTGTAGCATTTAGTTATGAGCTTCAGCTTGTCCAGGTCTCGATTGCCACTCAGCTCGGTGGCACTCTGATTAGTTTGCTCTGGAGAAAAACGGGGGAAAATAATAATAATTCTTACATTTGATATAGCGCCTTACTACACCGTCAAGCCATCTCAAAGCGGGGGGGGTGGTCTCACCATTCTTCTTCTCCAGCAGTTGCTTCAGGCTGTCCTTCAGGACAGAGGACCTCATGGCACAAATGTTATTGTAGCTGTCCATCAACGGGAAGGGAATGGCGCTGCTCGGGATGCGGTTACGGTGGAGAAAGCGGAGGATTTTGGCAGCGTGGACGCCCACTCGGTCCTTATTTTTGGAGAAGATGTCCACGAAACCTAGAGAGCAGCAACGAGAGGACCAGGATTACACCCGACAGCTTGTACAGCAGCTCGTCTCCAACCCTGCACTGAGAACCGCTGAACATGATAATCCAACTTAATTTAGCACAGGAGAACGCCCATCAGAGACGGAGGATGGAAATGGAGGCTGTTTGCAGGTGGTTTTTCCTTGCAATGGGATCACTCAGATCTGGAGAGGGGGTTGGGGCGGAGAAGGTCCCTTTGGTCCCATTTGATCTTCTCCCTGAATCCCCACAAAACTGCCCCCTTCTCCATTACAGCATTGAGCAGGAATCACAGTGCCACCCTTCCTGATAACCCACCCCCTTCCGTGTAAATACTCTCCACTGTAGTTCCAAAATGTGCCTCCACAACCTGTTTGACAGCAATGTTCTGGCTTCACTTCCTTGATTCCTATTTGACTTGATTGAACCGAACACAATGATTGCAGGGAACAATAGGGAACAACTACAACTTGCATTTGCCAGTGCCCTTCACACGAGGTAGCGTCTCGAAGAGCTAGAGAGTGGCGGAGTCTGACGCTGAGCCAGCTGGAGGTGACCGTAAGCACAGTCGAAGAGGAAGGTCTTCAGGCGATCGATACAAGGGAGGGAGGGCAAGACGGAGGGACTGAGGGAGAGAGTTCCAAAGCTTTGGGATGTAGAGGCTTAAGACGCGATGGTGGAAAGGAGGGGATGACGGACGAGCAGGAGTTGAGGGTCAGCTGAGCAGGTGGGGGAGTGGGGAGAAGGTAGGAATGACAGGGAGCGACAAGAAGTGTCTGTACCTGGAGTCAGAGAGCATCCTTGTAGCTGGCGGATCACGTGGCTCAGCTCCCCCTGGAGGTTGGCACCACCTGAAGTCTTGAGGGACTCCAGCATGTTCTCAGCAGCAACTATCCCATCGCCCTCGGCATCAAACTGAGCAAAGGCCTGGCAACACAAAGCACCAGCCACGACAGCCCCTCAGTGCCCGTCGAACTCTCTCAACCCCTCCACCTCTCACTGCCCATCCAACTCCCTTAATCCCTCCACCCCTCAATGCCCATCCAACTCCCTCAACACCTCCACCCCTCACTGCCCATCCAACTCCCTCAACCCCTCACTGCCCACCCAACTCCCTCAACCCCTCCACCCCTCAATGCCCATCCAGCTCCCTCAACCCCTCACTGCCCATCCAACTCCCTCAACCCCTCACTGCCCACCCAACTCCCTCAACCCCTCCACCCCTCACTGCCCATCCAACTCCCTCAACCCCTCACTGCCCATCCAACTCCCTCAACCCCCGCCTCCTCACTGCCCACCCAACTCCATCAACCCCTCCACCCCTCACTGCCCATCCAACTCCCTCAAACCCCCCCTCACTGCCTGTCCAACTCCCTCAACCCTCCTCACTGCCTGTCCAACTCCCTCAACCCCCCCGCCTTGACTGCCCGTCCAACTCCCTCAAGCCCCCCGCCTTGACTGCCCGTCCAACTCCCTCAAGCCCCCCGCCTTGACTGCCCGTCCAACTCCCTCAATCTCCACCTCACTGCCCATTCAACTCCCTCAATCCCCACCTTCATTGTCCGTCCAACTCCCTCAATCCCCACCTCACTGCCCGTCCAACTCCCTCAACACCCCCTCACTGCCCGTCCAACACCCTCAAACCCCCCCACTCTTTCTTTTATAAAGTGAAGGATTTGAATGCAGAGAGAGTTGAAGCAAGAGAAAGAGATCTTCACCAACAAAACACGCAATCACTATACTTTCTGTTCGACCCTGAGCTGTCCTTTCTTCCTCATACCCGCGCCACAACTGGCGCCGCCCTCCATCACCCTCGAAACATCGCCAGACTACGGCACTACCTCACCCCTCACGCGGCTGAAACTCTGGTCCTCGCCTTTATCACCTCAAGGCTGGACTATGGGAACTCTCTCCTCACCGGCCTTCCCGGCCCTCCCTCCACACTGCAGGTCATTCAGAACTCTGCAGCTCGTGTACTGTCCCGCACCAGACACCGCGACCACATCACTCCCACCCTCGCCCTCACCCTCACCCTCGCTCGCCTCCACTGGCTCCCCATCCCCCAGAGGATTGAATTCAAGATCCTCATCTTCACCTACATGGCCATTCACGGCCTCGCTCCCTCCTACCTCTCCGACCTACTATCCCCCTACCTACCTGCCCGTACCCTCCGTTCCCCTGGTTCCGGTTTGCTCCACATCCCCCGCCCCAACCGCCCTACCATCGGTGGCCGGACCTTCAGCCTCTCAGCCCCGAGGCTCTGGAACTCCATCCCCAGTGCCTTCGCCGCTTCCTCCCTTTCCTCCTTCAAGGCCGGTCTCAAGACCTTACTCTTTGGCTGTGCCTTCAGCTCCTCTCTCAACTCTCTACACCCTCCTCGCCCCCTCCCTTCCCTCCCCTCACCCTGACCATTTCCCCCCTCCTCGCTCCCTCCCTTCCCTCCCCTCACCCTGACCATTTGGCCCCTCCTCGCTCCCTCCCTTCCCTCCCCTCACCCTGACCATTTCCCCCCTCCTCGCTCCCTCCCTTCCCTCCCCTCACCCTGACCATTTTCCCCCTCCTCGCCCCCTCCCTTCCCTCCCCTCACCCTGACCATTTCCCCCTCCTCTCTCCCTCCCTTCCCTCCCCTCACCCTGACCATTTCCCCCCTGCTCGGGTCCTGACCCAACTGTGCAGCGCCTTGGGACAGTTCCTCCCGACGTGAAAGGCGCTCTATAAATGAAATCTTGTTGTTGTTGTTTACAGTAAACTCTGTGAAACGACGTGTATTATTTTTATTTATTGAATGAATCTGAGGTTGTAAGCCACGGATCAGAAACACTGAGAAAAGGTGTCCGTTTCCAGCACAGTCACGTATGTTCCTGCCTTTACTCTGCCACAAACAGGCTCACGTTACACATTACCTCACCACTCCATCTAGGATCATAAAGTACAAGCAAGATACCTCTCACGACACAACCCGGATTTATAGCATTGATTATACACAGTATAACATTAAAACGTCTTAAAGTGCTTCAAAAGCAGCAATTTTTCACATAGCCACAATTTCACCTGCTTCAAGAATATTGCCGTGCGCAATTGGCTGCTGCCCACAAAATATAGTCAATTCATTTCACAGTGTATTCTCAATGATGTGATAAGGCTCTATATCAAATGTAAGTATTAGTTTATCATTATAATAGCACAAGGTCCAAAACACAGCCATGATGTGAAGCCAGGAGAGTTGTTGGCCAGAGCTCCGGGAGGAACTCCCTTCTCTGTCAACAACAAACTGGTCAGGGAGCAGGAGTAGGGTTGGGAAACCAAGTATGCGAGGAATGCTAGATTAATCATCTGCTCTACACAAACTATTCATTTCACTGATGGCATCAGATGCTCGGGACGCCAGTGGGCTGGGAGCTTCAGTGCTCACACAGCGACTGTGACAACAGCTAAAGGTAACCCCAAGGAAGCTCAACCATTGACGTTGTGTGTGGGATTCCACAGATTATTGTGCTGTGTGTGTACACCAGGAAACACCCCAGAACCAGAGCTGTCTAGCCACCAGTTACATATTTTGCACGGAAAATATAATAGCCACTCAGGTCAGTTGTGCGGATAATAATAATAATAATCCTTGGATTTGGTACAGCGCCTTATCACGTCATTGAGACGTCTCAAAGCGCTTCACACGATAGATTGTGAAGTAGATTGCTTGTGTATTTTTGTGGGCGAATAATTGTTTTAGTTCAGATATTTGCACAAGGAGTGAGAAGCACTCCACCCCCGGAAATTTTACACAGCTGCCAAACTGCATGTTTGCAGCACACACCCACGCGCGCACCGACACGCTAAAAAACTGAGCGAAGCGGGGTGGTGGGGTGAGGAGGGGAGCACAGTCACTCCACCGGCTGCTACTGGCACACGGTCAAAACTTGAAAACCTCAAATCAGCACCTCCCAGCCACACGGCAGTGTTAGGTGTACAGTGTTTGCATAAGGTGCCATATCAAATACAAGGATTATATTATTATATGTCGCGGGGTGTGGGAGCATTAAATCAATAAAACCAGAGGCCGGGTCAAATTTCACACACAAAGGAATACAGCGAAAATCACTCTCAGTTGTGGTGACCTGAAGGCAAAATACTGCAACAGGTCAGGCAGCATCTATGGAGAGAGCATCTCTCTCAGAATGCTGCCTGACCTGCTGTGTACTCCCAGCGACTTCTGCTTTTATTTCTGGTGCGGTGCCCTCCAGCCTCCAGCGACACACGCCATACCCAACCCAGCCCGCCTCATCTCAAAGCAACTGCTTCAAACTCGCAAAGGAATTCAGACTGTGACGTGTCAGAAGGAATTCAGTATTACCACCGGAACAATTCTCTGTCTCGTTTACCAGAATTTTTTCTTTTAAGAGGTGCTTTTTAAAAAATATAATCTGCCAGCAATGATAATAGATAATCAGAAAAATCCTCACAGTTGGTATGTGGGCTTTCACATCAGGAGGACGTCTCAGAGGGCTGCACAGGATATGCTGTGAAGCGTAGTGACTGTGCGTTTTGGAGGTGAAACACATCAGTTTGGTAAGAGGACAGGTGATCTGCATCCCTTTGCTGTGTGTCACAGACGACAGCAAGAGTTCACTAATATCATGACTGCCCCCTCTCTTCCTCCCCAGCCCCCACACTGCGAAACGTTACTGACAAGAGGTCGATCTGATCAACGGCTGAACCAGGAAAAATGGAAGCACCGCCACAAACTGAAAATAAAAGTACCAACTTGAATCCGATTTACACTTCTCCCCTATCCCTCGGTACCCGGCAGCAAACACCACTGCACACCCACCCACCCACCCACCCACCCACCGGCACACACACAAAGGCCTGAATGATGGTTGGTGCAGATGCTGCAATTTATTTTGTGTCACAAAAATCACATTGTCATCTCTCTGCCGTCTCTCTCACTGTTTTCAGTTTGCTCAGTAGTTTCTAATGCAGATAAAAGCGAACAAATACAACAGATAAGACACTCACATGCACAGTGTGTCTGTGCCAGGCCATAACTAGAACCACACAGGTCTCCCAGAGAAAGATTTTTTTTACAATGGCTTCTCATGCTATGACCAATCTATGCGAGAAAGAATCTACAAAGCCTTTGCACTGCAAAGCAGCTTAAAGCACGGCAATTATTGCCGAGGGCAACACACACTTTGCGCTCGCAATGTCTCACACACAGCCCTGAAGTGAACAACTCATTAACAACCGAGAGGAGATACAGGTGTAACACCACCAGCTCTAACACGATCAAAGCTCATGCACACACCCACCCCGGTGACAAGGAGATGGGGGATCCGGTGGAATCACAGCCTAAATTCAGCAAATGGCGTTCTCCAGGAGAGGAGAGCTAACAGAACAGAGTGTGGGGCGTGGGGGGAGTGCTGTCAAAAAAATAATAATAATTTGGTCATTCAATCCACGACTGTTTGTGGGACACTGCTGTGCGCAATTGGCTGCCGCGTTTCACACGTAAAGTATAGTCAATTCACTTTGCAGTATATTCTGTGAAGCACTTTGAAACGTCTAGTAGACATGATAAGGTGCTATATCTCTGGAACACTTTCCCTCAATCCCTCCACCTTGCCCCCTCTCTCCCCTTTTTCAAGTTCCGCCTGAAAACCTTCCTCTTCGACTGTGCTTACGGCCACCCCCCCCCACCCACCCCTCGGCTTGGAGTCGGGCTCTGCCACTGTTAAGCTCCCTGAGATACTACCCTGCGTGGAGGGCACTATACAAGTGCAAGTTGTTGTTATATCAAATACAAGGATTATTAGTATTATTGTCTCGCAATATTCACATGGTGACATGTTTAACACCATTGATGTCGGTGCCTTAAAAGCAGCTGGTGTAGTGTCCAGCGACTGACGCCCCAGCCTCCTGGAGCCGATTTG